GCTCACCAAGGGCAACTCCAGACCCAGACAGACTTTTAATTCATTTGAAAGCCTGATGCTGAGCCTCGTCCACCCCAGCTGTGAAACTCAGAAACCAGTCTTACTTGTTATCATCTATCGTCCACCTGGGCCTTACACAGAGCTTCTGTCTGATTTCTCAGACTTTATATCTGATTTAGTTCTGAGCTCAGATAAAATAATTATTGTGGGTGACTTTAACATCCATGTAGATGCTAAAAATGACAGCCTCAACATGGCATTTAATCTGTTATTAGACTCAATTGGTTTCTCTCAAAATGTAAAAGAACCCACCCACCACTTTAATCACACTCTAGATCTTGTTTTAACATATGGCAGAGAAACTGAACATTTAACAGTGTTTCCTGAAAACCCTCTGCTGTCTGATCATTTCCTGATAACATTTACTTTTACAATAATTGATTACACAGCAGTGGAGAGTAGACTTTATCACAGTAGATGTCTTTCTGAAAGCGCTGTAACTAAGTTTAAGAATATAATCCACCCACTGTTATCATCTTCAGTGCCCTGTACCAACACAGAGCAGAGCAGCTATCTGAACGCTGCTCCAACAGAGGTCGATCATCTTGTTAATAATTTCACCTCCTCACTACGTACGACTCTGGATACTGTAGCTCCTGTGAAAACTAAGGTCTCTAATCAAAAGTACCTGACTCCGTGGTATAATTCTCTAACACGTACCCTAAAGCAGATGACTCGTAAGTTGGAGGCGACTGTTGTTGTGATTTGGCGCTGTGTAAATAAAATTGAAAAAATCCATAATGAACAAATAAAATTCATTTTAAAAGTATTTTCTTTTACTAACATAATGTTGAAGTGAAGAAGCCTCTTGGATGAGAAGTGAAATGTCCTTATAAAACTTTCCAAGCTCGTTAGACAATAATCTTGAATGAATTGAATAAATATGGCTGCTATCGCTCCATCAGTTCATCCACCTTATGTTTTGTTTTTATCATTTTAAATTTAAATTAAACTCAGTGGATACACAAAATACTACATCTGGAAAATGTTTTTAAAAACTCACAAGTGCAGTTAAATGTTGTGTAAATGTATACAATCACATAACTGCTCAAAATTTGCAGAGCTGTTGGAATCTTTTGTAAAGCTGTCAAATCTATAGCTCTGGTTCTGAGCACCTGGTCCTCATAGTCATAATCTGACTGTGCCTGGCTGTCATGATGTGTTTGTCCCAAATGGAATCAAACAGCAGAGTCTGTCAGCTGTTATTACTGAAACATAGACTAATTGAATTCTTTCAGAGCTGGCTCCTTATGCTCTTATTCACTGGCAGAGTCTGTGGACTCCAAAGTCACTTTTAGTCTCTTGAACCCTGATTTCTTTTTAATAAATTATGTTAGAACTGTGTTGTCCATGGTGTATACAACATATTATGCTTGTTCGTGGAGTTGGTTTCATTATTTTGATGAGTATCCTGTTGTGTCACAGCCCATAGTCCTAAATGTTGAGTCCATTGTTACCTCATATTCCCTGACACATATGCATGTGGGGTGGCCTCAAACAGTTAAGTGGGACACAGCAAGAAACTGCACGTGGGCCATTACACAATCAGCTGCATCACCATCTGATAATCATGGGGACCAGCAAGGAAAAGATTCACTGTTTTCTTTGGAGCAGCGTCTTTAAAAGAGAGCTCAGAGATCAACAGTTGACAGAAGCTTTTGAGTTTAAAGCACTGAGGAGACAGTTTTCACATAATGGGCAAAAGAACTAACAGCAGGCTTTGAAAATCCTCAGATAAATAAAGATACAAATGATACTTAAGCCATTTTGTATCAAGCTGCAAGTATGGTTTTTAATTTTGCAGAGTTGGAAATTTTTAACATGGGTGTCTATAGGGACCGACCTCGCTCTGAAACCAGCTTCAAGCGGCACTTATGGATCTGCAGTTTTTGATACTTCCTCGCTGGCCTCATTTGCCATCTACAGAGGTTGTCACTTGGGGAGCATTTTCAAACGTTTTCCATCCACTCACAAATTGAAACGAGGCCCCAAACTTGTTCAGCCTTTAGTTTACAAAAGTTCAAACAGCAGAAAAGATACTTTTCTATGCAATTGTCACTTTTATCAGTTATTTTTCAGCTTCATTTGGATAATACATTTCAATTGTGTTAGCAAACAAAAGAGCAGCTATAGCAAACATGCGAGTGTAAGACTAAGGATGTCCTATTGGGGTAACTCGGAAAGTTACATTCAGATTAAAAGGTTTTCACTGACATGCTTAATTTCTATTTTATGTCTGCTTATCTTTCTTTTAATTTAAAAATGTCTGAAAACTCTCACAGCCGTGGTATCTGCCGACTGTTCCTGGGAAACAGACTCTTTCTGTATCTTCATAGCTGTTCTTTGCTGAAAATAGTAACACTTTCCTTGTATCTATTAGTCTTCACATCAGCTGACTGTGTACCTGTATTGTCTGGCATCCTGAAGGTATTCACTCCACATCACCATTTTCACATGTTGTTGTGTTACAGCCTTATTCCAAAACATTAAATGAATTTTTCACCTCAAAATTCTGCAGAATACTAAATGAAGAAAAGTTTGCTTCACATTCTTACAAATGTATTAGTATTTGTACAGAATGTTACATGTGTTTACAGGCTTTGCTCAGTGGCACAATGATTAGCACTGTTGCCTCACAACAACAAGGTCCTGAGTTCAGGTCCACTCCGTGGGTGGTCCTTCTTGTGTGGAGTTTGCATGTTCTCCCTGTGTTTGCGTGGGTTCTCTCCGGGTACTCCGGCTTCCTCCGGCTAACGATTTACAAAAGCCTTGATAGAAATATGGTTTTCTAAACCCCATGCCCCCCTTTAGATTCATCACTGTGATAGAAAGTGGAAGGCTACCTTCAGTTAGCTGCCTGATTTAAAAATCATGTCAAACTAAGTTAACAGCTCATCTGTAGATTTTAATATAAATTCAGTAACTTTACTACAAAGCATCCATCCTGAGCTCTTGTTCTGTGCTGTGTGTGTGTCATCAGGTTGGTTGGTTGTGGTCTAACTAGTAACAGAACTAATAACTCAGGGGAATATGAAGACAATACAACTAAAAATCAGTCAGTGGGGGTCACTTTGGCTGTGACAATGAGTTTTCTGTCCACTGCACTAAAATGGGGAAATCCCCCAGTTAGCCATAATGTTCGGGGTCTGTAAAGCACTTTATAAATGAGGACTGTGTGGAGGAGCCTGTATGAGTCAGGTGGTCCACCAGACTGACAAGCTGCAGCCAGAAACTGATTGTCCATGTCTGGCCGAGTGTACTCAGCAGTGCAATCAGCTGAAATTTGTCATTTTTTTCTGTTCATTTCATAACAGGATCCAGAGTCCACATTATTATCAACATTCACCCTGCAGAGGGAGAGCATCAGGACCAAGCCGGGTATCTTGGGTCTTGGTTTTGGAGAAATGTCCTCCCTTTCTTTCATCACAGCTGTCCCATGGCAGACGTTCTGTTGACTCACTGAGAGAGACATCAGGTCAGAAACTCCAGAAAGACTGAAACTCATTGAAGGAGTCACAGTCTTTAGTAATAACTCCCTCAGTCCTGTAGAAACGTATATAATTATGTACACAGTTGGTTTTAGCACATTGGGCTTTGCTATTTTAATCTGGTTTCTTTTATTGTGTGGACAGCAGCTGCGTTAGTAACAAACTGAGATATTAGAAACTACAGGCAGTCAGTGAGTGAAGAATACTGTGAGAACATCTTCATTCCTCAATGATTCATCTTCAGTTAAAAGTTTGTTAATGAGGAGATATTGAGTGCAAGAATTTTTGTAATTTGGTGTTACTGTCCTTACGGTCGTCAGGAGAGACAGAAACATGCTGCTGTCTGCACATATTCAACAATCAGCTCTGCACAGGAGCTGAAGGAGAGCCCAAAATCACACTAATGTCTGCATTTTGATTTTGTTACATCCGAACACAATGATGGCAGAAGTGCTGCCACGTGTGTGGCCACACAGAGCACCAGTGTGTTTATTTGGTAGTTCAATGAAAGGCTTCAGTTAGTTGAAGTGAGAAAAAAGCGTGTTCATATTGGCAGCTTTGTCTTGTTAAACAATATTTGAAATTTTAAAAAACACACAAAATGCTACATTTTTGGAGATATTTGTGGGAGTTTTCTTGCTTGTTTTTTGTACCCCTTGAACACTAAAGTGGCCCTCCAATGAGATGACAGCGCCAGCAGTGGCCCACAGCTCATTCAAGTTTGAGACCCTGCCATCTGCCTGTTTCATCCTTTTTAGTCACACCAGCCCTCTGCATGTGCTCCTTAACTACATCCATGAACCTCCTCTGAGGTCTTTTCCCACCTTCCTACCTGGCATCGCTGTCATTCTTTGTTCACTCCATCCACTCTGCGTTCTCTGCACATGTCCGAACCATTTCAACCATAACTCTCTAATATTGCCTCCAAATCACTCAACCTGAGCTAATGTTCTCATTTGTAGCCCACTCTGGTCACTCCGAGTGAAAATCTTCCAATCCACCACTTCCAGCTCTGCCTCCTACTTTTTTGTTGGTTAGTTGGTTGGTTGTTAGCGCCACCATCTACAATCCAGCATCTTGTAGACCTGCTAACCAGTCATAAATCACCCCTGACACTCAGTTCCACTCTGCCTGCACTCTCTTCTTCACCTCTCTTGGCCTCTGTCAGTTGTTTTGAATGGTTGACCCCAGGTCTGGTTTCACTAGCTGTACTTGCAGCTTTGCTGTTGCACCTCTCTCCCTCTCATTCACACACATTTATTCAGTCTTGTGCTTCTTAAGGACTTTTTCTTTGCCCCTGTCTCTGTGTGTCGCCCTCTTTCTGCGGTATGTATGTATCAAATAAAAGAAACATCCACCTGGGTTATTTTCCATGCCTCACCCCCTTTACTAGCACTTTGAATAACAGAAGCTTTTGGCTCCGCCTTCGCTACAGTCGCAGAGGGCTTATAAACCAGGCTCAGGCTGAGCACAGCTTCACCCACGCAGCGGACACTAATTCTTTTGCGGGCTCACTGAGGCTACACACAGGACCGAGTCATGGAAAAAGATGGAAGACCCAACTGGGACAGCCCCATGCAATTTGTGCTGGCCTGTGTATCATATGCAGTCGGACTGGGAAACGTGTGGCGGTTTCCATACCTCTGTCAATTACACGGCGGAGGTAAGTCCGTGTGACCCTCTTTCACTAAATCATGAGCAGCACTTTCTTGTGCCTTTAAGTAGAGGGAGGTTACCAGGTTTATGATCATGTTTGATGAGCACAGAGTGTATTTGATTTGAAATGACAAATCTCAATACACTCTCTCTGTCTTCAAAGATTCAGTGGAAAGCAGTGATGTTGTACATAACGGATTTTACTCACCTCAGCTGGTAAACGAGTTACTACAGCCATGTGTCATGTAAACGTCCCTTTATAATTTCTCAATACCATTAATTGAATTGTAAGTAACTTAATATTCTTTAATTGGTGTGAAGAGTTGTTGATTAAGATTTTATCAAAGGGGGCGGGGCGTTCCGTGGTAAATTTCCTATGGAATCCTTACCTGACTATTGTCAGCTGTCTCGCTGCTGAAAACAACAATAATAAAAGTAGATGACGGTCATTAAGCGTTCGGAGCGAAAAGCAAATAATAATCAGAAGCGGTTTCGAAGTAGGCTTGTTTAAACAGACTCCGTTTAAGTGTGAGAGTGCGCAATTTAAAGACGAACTAAAATAAACGCAGCGCAAGCATTCAGACATTTAAAGAAGAAAAAATGTTTTCGGCTCTTCCCTGGAAATGTTTCCAACATATGGCACTTTGTGCCGGGGTGTTTGTCCCGATGTTTCTCTCTGACTGCCAGAATCTGACTCTGTGCGTCACCCTTCATTTACTGTGTGGATGTGGAATTTTTCAGCGTCCTACTACGTACGACAGTACTGTGCTAGTGACCGACACCATAACACTTTTTGTCTTGACAACAAATCACCTTTGTGAGTGTAATTAGAAACTCAGCACACTGTGCGTTGCAGAAGGAACAACGTGAAAAGATGTTTCACACATACAAGGTTGACCATAGCCAAGCACAGATGGTCTTCTGCCAAGTAGGGAGACTGGTGCCAGTTGGGTCAGGGGTTTGTTGGCACACTGTAATTCTCCAGACTGCTCAGAAGGGTACCACCATAAAAATGTTAGTTAGAAATGCTTGTCCTCAGCCACTTACGCAAAACACCTGAAGGTCACAAGAGTATCAGGTGAGGACACAGACAGGGGAAAAGAGTGGAAACCAAGTTTATAGCAAAATGCATTGATTTTATTTGGGGTCATTTTTGACCCCACCTGTGGAAGAGTGTAGGTAGGTATTGGTAGATTGTGCATCCAAGGGTTAATATGGCTCCTATCAGCTTAGAAAGTGTGCTTCTGGTTTACACTCATGGGATTCTTAAAATGCTATGGTTGCATATTTTTTATAATTGTGGTGTTTATATAGCAAATTTGTCCACTGTATAACATTTGTACTGTATTCACCCTTCATGCCTTCAGGGGGGTTCTTAATCCCGTATCTCATCATGTTGCTTTTGGAGGGGTTGCCCTTATTCTACATGGAGCTCGCCATTGGTCAGAAGATGCGTTTAGGTAGCATCGGGGCATGGACTTCGATAAGCCCGTATTTGGGAGGATTGGGTAAGTGCTTGATTAAAATGAAGTCGCAATGCATTTACCGCACACTTTTAGCTACACTTTTGGAAAACTAGAGGTGTTATAAAGGAGTACCAAGGAGAGCCTTTCTGGTGACAAAACAGTAAGCAGTTTGAATGTTGCATTAGAAGAAGCTAAAAAGGAGTCTGTGCAAAGGAGCTACAGACAGAACTTTGTAGAGTGCTGTGAATGAAAAACACCTGGGCTTTGTTTAAGTTTTAATCTTTCAAATGAACAGTTTAATTTTATGTAGACAATTTGATTTCATTTTATTTATATAGCGCCAAATTACAATAACAGTTGCCTCGAGGTGCTTTATATGCAGGTACCCTACAATAGTACAGCAGGTATAAGTAACAAGTGTCAATGTGAGATTGGTGATTTTATTTGCTGTTCTTCTGTTTTAGGGCTTGCTAGCGTTGTGACATCCGTGTATCTCTGTCTCTATTACAACGTCATCAATGCATGGAGTTTCTGGTACCTCTTTCATTCATTTCAAGTGAGCTGCTAATTTTCAAACTACTGCAGTTTTTTTCAAACACATGCTACGTTGTTGTAGCTCATTTGGATGTAACACATCTCTGCTGCTCTTCATGTTTATGTCAATTGCAGTCAGTCCTGCCCTGGGCAGTATGCCCCATAAATTCAAACCGAACGGGACCTACAGAGGAGTGTGAGGTGGCTACACCCACCCAATATTTCTTCTACAGGGAAACACTGAACATCTCTTCTTCTATTGAAGAGAATGGAGGCATTCATACAGGACAGGCGCTGTGTCTCGTGCTTGCCTGGGCAATAACCTACCTGTTCATTGTGCGAGGAGTAAAGTCAACAGGAAAGGTAAGGAGACTCACGAGTTTCTGTGATACATATCAGAAGTGGATATGAGCACAACAATCGCCATCATGAAAATGCCACTTCATAAATTTTGATGCCAAGTAACATAAATGCATTGTCACATAATTAAATGGTAAACACACCAGTTCTTATATACCGCTTTTCAACTCTGCCTGAGCACTCACAGTGCTTTATACAGTATAACAAGTTAACAGTATAAATCTTAGGCTGCAGACCCACAGAATGACAGAATTCCCAATCCTAATGAGGACATATATCTTTTTTTTAAAAGTCATATCAACACAAAAACAAGGAGCACAAAGCTGAAAACCACTCAAGGCAGTCTTACATATGTGTTTAATATGTGCGATGAAGGACATGTCCTGGTCAAAAATGACTCCAAGGTTCCTCACAGTGTTACTGGAGGCCAAGGTAATGCCATCCAGAGTAAGAATCTGCTTAGATACCATATTTCTAAGCTTTTCAGGGCCGAGTACAATAACCTCAGTTTGATCTGAATTAAGAAGCAGAAAGTTAGCGGCCATCCAGGTCTTTATGTCTTTAAGACATTCCTGCAGTTTAACTCATTGGTGTGTGTTACCTGGCTTCATGGACAGATAGAGCTGGGTGTCATCTGCATAGCAGTGTAAATGTATGCTATGTCTTCTAATGATGCTGCCTAAGGGAAGCATGTATAATGTAAACAGAATTGGTCCTAGCACTGAACCCTGTGGAACTCCATAATTAACCTCAGTGTGTGAAGAGGACTCTCCATTTACAGTAACATTAGATGAGTCCACTGTCAGAGGCCATAAGAAGATCATTTGTAACCTTCACTAAAGCTGTTTCTGTGCTGTGATGAGCTCTGAAACCTGACTGAAACTCTTCAAATAAACCATTTGTCTTTTAAAATCACTCTTTCAAGATTTTTTTTGAGATAAAACGAAGGTTGGAGATTGGCCTATAATTGGCTAAGACTGATGGGTCAATGATGGATTTTTAAGTAACCGTAACAGTTAACTGTTTTAAGTTAGTATAAAAAGTGGCTGTACAGAATGTTCCATCTGTGAGATGGTTATGAGTAATTAGTTCTCTCAGTTCACTGTACTTAATATGAATCTAGCACAGTTCTTTGCGGTGTGGTGGAAGTGGAGATGTTCCTAGATATGGACCAACAGCAGCAACTGTGTGATGTTATGTCAATATCCCCCAAAATCTCTGAGCAATATTAACAAGCCTTCTATACCACACAGCATATGGGCTATACCCCATTAGTAGCAATGTGTACCTAATGGAGGATTTGGTGAATGTAATTTACAAATATTTTCTAAACCAGTAGACCCTAGTGCCTAACTAAAACATACTGTAACACAAAGTTACCAAGTTATGATAAAATTCATAAACATTCCATCATCACACTTACACATTTGAACTTTTCTATGATTGTGCTGGTTGGCTTCTACAGGTGGTGTACTTCACAGCTACATTTCCTTATCTGGTCCTGTTTATCTACTTGATTCGGGGTGTGACTCTTCATGGTGCCATCAATGGCCTCAAATACATGTTCACACCCAAGGTAAGAGTGTCTAGGAAATGTGCTACGCAGATAAGGCTCTTCAGGTTTCATACTTAGAGTGGTTTATCTTTTATGTGTATGTACATTTGTCTGCTTTTAGATGGCTGAACTTGCCAATCCTAGAGCGTGGATCAATGCAGCCACTCAGATCTTTTTCTCCCTCGGTTTGGGTTTTGGCTCACTAATAGCCTTTGCTAGCTACAACCAGCACAACAACAACTTTCAGAACCAGGCCATCGTTGTCTCACTTATCAACAGTGGAACCTCTATCTTTGCCAGCATCGTCACCTTTGCCATCTATGGCTTCAAGGCTACTCTCAACTACGAGAACTGCCTGGACAGGTATGTATGTTTTGTGCTAATGCAGGGTTCCCGCTACACATGCAAGCATGCCTGTAAATTTACAGGTGTGTCCCTATAGGCGTGATATATTATACGGTTCAACAAGTTATTACAAATCCAGGCATGTGTACTTCAATTTCCAAAATTCAGAATATCACACATGCTTTGTAACATGCTGTTATACTAGCTCATTTTTAAAGAGGCTCTTTGTGGCCTCAAATCCAACTGAGTAACATAAAAAATACCACAAACTTTATCTTTGAACCAGTATTTTATATGTCAAAACAGCCAAATTTGCATGTTATGATATGATGTTACAATTATAAGATCAGGATTGTAACAGTGTAAAACACTGGCATGGAAAATGACTTGTAAATGACTTCTGGTTAAGAATACAAGCTGCAAACGACAATATTTAAGGCAGAGTGAGTAAACTATTGGCCTTAATTGGCATCAAAACATCTTGAATAAATCTTTTTTCTCAACATAGAGAAAATAAGACATGGGGATTTTTTTCTGTTATGATATTTGTGAAAATAACGTGTGTCAGCTATTATTTTTAAACCATTCACCAAGCTAATCCCATATCAATACTATCCACATCAGCACAGTAGGGTCAGCAACATTTATGTCTTGTGCAGGAAAAGTTTTAAATTCAGCATTCCCGGACCATGAAACTGCAAACGCATTTGTATGGAGGTAAAACAAGGCAGTCTACATCAGCTTTTTGGACTAGCCGTGCACATTACATTAGCTTGTTGGAGATAATACCAAGGACGAGTTTGTTTTAAGGTTAAAAAAAAAAAAAATCAAAACAGCTGGTGCCCCAAACCCAGAAGCATTTGAGGTTTTAGTTTTGTCTTTCTTGGGTTTTCTTTTCATTCAGAGTGGTTTTAAATGCGTCATAGAAGTCTTAAATCTGACTGACTTTGATGAAAGAAATGAAATAAACCAAAACAAAACTAACAGTATAAGTGAGCGTAGAGACATAAATCTGTTTGGTTTGTTTTTTCACTTGGACCCTAGACTACAATTTAAACATAGCTCTGGCCTGAGGGCATAAAATCAAAGCTAACAGTAACATTAGCCACATTAGCCATTAGCCAAACACAATGGATTTTCCTATTGTTGTGGGGACATTGCATCAAAATAAAAGTAATCCACTGGGTCTTCAGTTCCTCAGATGCCGGGAGTGCGTGAAGACGTCTGTGTTTGCGCTCGCAGCCAACAACTGAACATTTGGTGAGTTTTGTTTGTCGCTGAGACATTTTAGTGTTAGTTAGCTAAAGCGACTCTAGCAAGAAGTTAATAGCAGTCGGTGATGCAGGTGCTCAGGGATGGAGAGTAGGTCCTGGTTGGCCATGCTAGGGCAATGTCTGAGACCAGTGGCTGCAAAGTTGTGAGATCACAAGCTTATGGAAGTGCAACAAGGGCTCCAAATGAACAGTGTTTATTACTGTCATCTAAACATCTTCATGCAAGTGCTTCTACAATGACATGTATTAGTGCTTTTACATTGAAACCATTTTTAAAAAGTTTTCTTTAGAATCAAGGTGAGGTGGTACAAACACATTAATCGTTCAACCAGGACGCTCGAGTAATGCCTGGACCAGTTGTTTGGGACCATTGTAAAACTGCGGTTTAGTCATTGTTTGGTTAGGTTGATGAACCGAAACTACTTGGTTATGTTTAGATTTAGAGGTTAGCATAAGGCTTGGAGAACAAAAACTACCCGGTGAGGATGAAGAAAGAGTATGGTTTTGATTCTGTTACATTATTAACAAAGTTACAGACAAGCTCAACAAAACTTATCTGAAAATGACGACACCAGTGTACATTTTGCACTTCTCCAATAAAGATTACATTGAAATGAAGCTGTATGTTGTGATAACAGCTGACACCATGTTCATCGAGAGAATAGTCTGTCACTGTATTCTGAAAACAGGCTGTGTGCATTTCTGTCAGTTGAGTAATTTGGTACTTTAACAACACAGCGTGTTGCTTTGCTTTATCATTGAAAAGAAAAACCCAGAAATGTTCTTTCTTTTGCACAATAGGACTTTGGACCTAGAATCTGGTATACAGAACATGTGTCCAGTGTTAGATCACTTAATAACAAGACATAACAACTCTGAACAAATATCTGTGGTGTGGTGGAGGGTTGGGTGGATGGGGGGGATTGGAGTTGATAGTAGTTGGGGGTTAGTGGTGGGGGGCTGGTATGTGGTAGGGGTCAAAGTACCATCCACATGAATGCCAAAACCCAACAGAACATTGTTTTTCATTAACACAAGTGTCATTCATTACACCTGCCAGTGGTTGGCAGCAAAACATGAAGTGAATAAATGCAATGATTTTACAAAAGTAATACAAAAAAGTAAGAACGAAATGGTTGGTTTTTTGCAGTTGAAACAACTAAGAACAAAAACAGTTAAAACTGTCTCATCTGCCGCAAAAACATAAGTGGACTGTAAACTTAGTTCAGTATCACATCAGTTCCCAGTCTAATAAAGGAAACACTTTGTGAAATACGTCTAAGTTCAACAGGTTGCAAAATGGCCTGTGCAATCATTGTTGAAGGTCAGGGTTAATTTGTGCTCCTTTTTCTTTGTTTTCAGAATGCGCCTTCTGCTGCTAAATACCTTTGATCTAGCAGAAGACGCCATCAGCATGGACAGCGTTCTCGAGTGGACTGAGAAGCTGAACACAACATATCCAGAGCAGTTTGCCCAAATTGCCGACAAAGTAAGAGAGGGAGAGTGCAACCTGGAAAAGGAACTAGACACAGTGAGTTACACTCATCTACATACAGTAACCACACAGGAAACACTATTCAGTTATAAAATAATGGAAAGTTGGAAGTTACTTAAATCGGGAAGAAAAAGAGAAACGATAAATGATCAACGTTTGTCACCCAGAGTCTGATCGTACAGTCAGGTCCATACGTTTCTGGACCATGACACAATTTCTGTCATTTGGCCTCTGTACACTACCCCAGTATATTTTAAATAAAACAGTGACAATGTGATTGACATGCACATACCACTGCAATTTTAAAAAGCTTAAGATCATGAGCTGTTCCTTTTGTCTGTCCAAGAACAGTGCATGCTATTTAGATGTTTTCTGACAATCTAATCTGCCCTTTCTGTTTTGAGGGTAACCACTACCGTATTTTCCGCACTATAAGGTGCACGTAAAATCCTTTAATCTTCTCAAAAATCGACAGTTCGCCTTATGTATGAATTCTGGTTGTGCTTACTGACCTCGAACCGATTTTATGTGGTACATGGCGCTCAGAAATCTGTCAAAAATGTTTTGGTACGACTTTGGTAAACTATGAAGCCGCAGCGCTTGATGGATTGTTGGAGCATTACAGCTGCCGTAGTCAGGAGCCTCGCGGAGTAATCTGGATCCTAAACTCCGTCTCTTCAGGTCCCCAAGTCAAACAAACACTGCAGCATCACTGAGAGTTAAAAACTGTCTAAATTCTTTCATCTTTAATAAAATGATCAGTGTTGCTGCTTTACCAGGTGTAACAATTAAGTTTAACATCCAGGCATCCATGAAAACAGGATTTATTAAAAGGATGAACACTAAATTTTTCCACTCGATAAAAGTTAACGTGAGGATTCCTGATGGTTAGAGACAAATGCAATCGCATGGAGGATGCTGTAAACAGACCAAACTTCAGTCAGGAGAACAACTGAGATAATCCATCCTCAACACGAGGTTAGTCATTAATATACTGCAACAACATGGGAATAGAGCCGCTGGAGAGAATTCAGCATTAATGAATCAATGGTAGGGAAGAGGAGGAAGCAAGAAGAATGAGTTGAGTAAAGTTTGACTTATCTGACTGTTTTGTTTACCTCAATGCACTTTATAATCCGGTGCACCTTATGGTTGAAAAATACGGTAGTTTGCACTTTCCTATAAAGCCTCTGTACATGCATTGATAAAGGTAACCAGGTGTACCAAACTGCTGATTTGACCACTCCTAAGTTTTTGCCGTCTCTCTTACAGTTTTATTTTAGTTCTTCATCTTAATGATCTCCTCCTTCACTTTGGAGTTCAATTTAAATCAAATACAATTTGTTGTTGCGAGGTACTAACTGAACTACAAAAACACTATGCACCCTCTAGTGTCCAGATGTGGAATAGCATTTTAATACCTGAAACTGCCACAGTCCACCAAGAACGTTTAAATGACAGGTTAACAAATACAAACAAACGAAAAACTTTAAGTTTGGCAGTTTTCTCTGTTTGTTTTCAATGCCATGTTTTAACAGATAGCTATTTTCAGCTCTTTACATGGACACTAGGGAGAAATGCAAAAATAGAGCACACAGCATGAGGGGATGTATGACAGCGATGTGACACTGGAGACTTAAAGACACGACATAATTAGGGAGATGGAACACACCAGGGAACACAGAGGAAGTAAAACTGAACAAAGAGATAGGCATAAGTACAAATAAGGACATAGGGACAAATAAGATGGGAAGTAACACACACTGAGACCCAGACTAAGACGTGATAGACACTGGGACTAGGGATAAACAGATACATGACAGACTGGAGAGACAAAGGATGAAACAAGACAAGAGAGGAAACATAGACAGGTAGACAGAACGCAGACCAGACAGACATGACTGAGCTGAGGGACAGACACAGAGACATGAAATAGATGGGTAAATAAACACAGAGACGAGACTGACTTTCACAGGAGAGGCTGAGAAGAGAAAAACAGAGGCGAGACAAAGACACAGAAGGAACCTAATAATATCAAACAAGAGACCATGAAAGACCGATAAACCCAGAGACACTAAAATAACTCAACTCAAGACTAAACCATACGAAGTTTGAACTTCAATCATCTTCTGAATGTAAAGGAAAGAATCATGAATCCAAAATAAAACTCTAAACACTGTGTCAAAGAGCCAGGACAGAAGCTGCCTGCAGGGCTGAACACATGTGGGGTTAGTTTGAGTCTGCTGTTCATGCCAGTGGCACGACCACACTGACAGATCCTGGTTGGAAGTTTGAATGCCATCCAGCAGCAGTGTTTGACCAAGCTGATCAAAAGAATAATCACTTATAATAATAATAATAAAATAATAACATGCTCCTCAGGCCCCTGTTTGTTAACTGTCAGTATGTGTTGTTTCTTTAATCATCCATCCATCCAACCAACAACACCAAACAACTCAATTTGACTGCTTAAACCACAAATGTGTTATTGTAGACTTGGTCTCTCTGTGGTATTATATCACTTCCTGTTCCTGTTACAACACACAGTGGTTTTTTGTGTATTTTTCTGTGTAGCCCGTTTTAATTAAAAACCTGTAGCTAATGACTAAAACATACCACTGCTGCTGCCTGTCTGTACAACCCGATATCAAACACCCCGATCCACAGTGCCCATTTCACGCTTTGCCTCCAAAACGTAAAATCTACACGTTGAAATAAGCTGCAGGACCAGCAGAGGGAAATATTTGATTTCAAGCCAACATGAAAATAATAACAGGAAAGCGTTTAAACAGACAATATTAACACATTCGCATGTATATCCATATTAGCCGTGACGATGCTGGGAGCCTGGGATCTACTTTGTACGTTACGATTTTGTGGCTTTAAATATATTTTCTCCCCCTGCTGGTAATGCAATTTCTGCATGCAGTAATGCAACTCATGCATGTTTGTCTCTCACGTTTTAGAGAGGCAAAGTGTGAAGTGGGCACGGTGGGCCGGCGTGTCTATTACACATTTTGCTATGATACTGGGTTGGTACTTTGCATATTTACACTCCACCCTGGCTGAATTGTAAAATATTATTACTTATTTAGGTTAAAAATCTTTACTATATTACCAAAAATTTTAAAAGCACCTCAGTACACTGTATTTTTGGAAAACTGTGCATAATATTTCTGCAGGAAACATGTTCCCCATCAGTATGATATATGATACAGTACATCGTCTCCATGTTCACAGACATGAAGCCTCTTTACTGTAATTATAATTATTGAGATATGGTTGTGGCATGTGCATCCACTTATAGGTATTTTATAAGAATGAATGATCTCTGTGAAGCGTGTCTGTATGAATAATACTTCATAAAGAGACATTTTGAAGTCTTTTTATTTGACATGTAAAACACTGACACTAAATTCAGTTTCTATTTCAACTATAAACTCCTGTTATTTTTGTTTCAGGCAGTAGAGGGGACAGGCCTGGCCTTCATAGTGTACAGTGAGGCCATTAAGAACATGCCTTTGCCCCAGCTGTGGTCTGTACTGTACTTCTTCATGCTCCTGCTGTTAGGAATGGGCAGCATGTTGGGAAACGTTACAGCCATCATCACCCCGTTACGTGATTTCAAGATTATGTCCCGCATGAGCAACGAGTTGTTCAGTGGTAAGATCCGTACTGATGTTGGTGGAGAAGGTCTTCGTACTTTCTGCTGCTATGTATTCTCACTGAACCGTTGCCACACTTTTCCTGTCTGTCTGGTTGGGTTACAAACACATTGACAGTGGTAAAGAGCAGCATTTATGTTTATTGCAGCTATAAAACTAGTTTTCAGCTGAGTGCACAAAGTTAAATAGAATTCAAAGTAGTAACTTGTGATGCTCCTACTTCCTACGACAGGCCGTGCAGATATTATCAAAGTGATTCTTTATGGTCCTACCATTGTGAGAAGGCAGATGTCTGGGAATGCCAGGAGCTTTACGCTGTGTGAGAATTTGGCTTTTAGAGCTTTGAGTGTTCAGAACAGAAAGGCTTTATAATACTCGGTGTGTAAAGCAGGCAGGATTGGACCCAAGCACAGACACACAGCTTCATTGCTGGGTGCCAGAAATACTAAACTAAACTGGAACACAGGGAGTAGCACACAGCTCGGAGGAAGAGGACGGTGGGAGGCGCAGACATAAATATGCACGCGAGGCAACAAACCACAGGAGGGAACACAGCTGAACATGATCTAACTAAGGAGACAGGGGTATACAGAGCATTTATGCATTTACAGCACACATTTAGCTGCAATAACCAACTCTCCCCATCGCTGCACATCCTCCCAGATGCTCGGCCAGTAGAATCAGGCCATGATTCGATTCCAGAGTTTTATCATAACCCACGGGCGACCGTGGCTCAGGGGGTTGGGAAGCGCATCAGTAACCGGAAGGTCGCCAGTTCGATCACCGGGCTCGCTGTCCTGGTCATTGTGTCCTTGGGCAAGACACTTCACCTTACCGCCTATTAGAGGGGGGCCGATGGCGCGATATGGCAGCCTCGCCTCTGTCAGTCTGCCCCAGGGCAGCTGTGGCTACAACTGTAGCTGCCTCCACCAGTGTGTGAGAGTCAATGAATGAAGCCTTGGAAAGTGCTATATACATCCAATCCATTATTATTATGTGAGCAGCCGAAATGATTTTTCGGGTGGCTCGTTACAGCCATCTATGTTTGTGTTTTTTCCGCCAGCTTTTCAACACTTGAAACTGGTTGTGTTCTTCTGGTGTCTCAGTCACTCGACACAATCTGTCTCCAATGAACACAAAGTGCGTTACTGTTACATCAGGGCACACTGTTTGACCATCAGTTTTCATGACTTGGTCAAAGGCTGAGTATAGGCTGTTATTATGACACTGCTGCGGTGGTGGAAAACCTATTGGAACCAACATGATCTCCTGTGAAGGCCCTGCTACGTCCCCCAGAATCAGTGTCCGATGGCCCCACACCATAGCTGAGTGCAGCAGAGACACCGCATGCCTCTACCAGCTGTGAATGCACCACTGCGCACTGCCCCATTAACTTACTGAACCCGGGCCAGCCGTTCCATAGCAGGAGATGCTGAGACACAACAGAAGAAAACAGATTATTGGAGAAGAATGGCGGTGCTGGGACTCTTGGGGCCAAGCTCCTGCCACTGGCTAAACAGTCATGGCAACCTCAAGGCTTGCCTGCCAGTGACTGCAGACCCACTTCGTTGTTGCCAGGAGCTCCTCCACGAATCGTTCTGGGAACACCGTGTCCAGCAGCTGAGCCGCTCCTGGTACAGGGCCAGGCTGCAGCCACCTGACCAGGATGTGTCCTTCAATGCACATATTAAACAAATATGTAAGACTGCGTTCTTCCATTTGTGCAACATCTCTAAAGTTAGAAATATCCTGTCTCACAGTGATGCTTAAAATTTAGATCATGCATGTTTTACTTCCAGGCGGACGACTGTAATTCATTATTATCAGGAAGTCCAAAAAACTCCCTGAAAAGCCTTCAGCTAATCCAAAATGCTGCAGCAAGAGTCCTGACAGGGACTAGAAAGAGAGAGCAGATTTCTCCTGTTTTGGCTTCCTGTTAAATCCAGAATTCTGAAAAAAATAATTCTGATAAAAAAAGTCAGAATTCTGACTTTTTTTTCAGAATTCTTGAAAAGAAGTGAAAAAAGGACGTGTCCCCTTTTTCCCCCCAGTGGCCCTAATCCTCTTTGTGACTGGTGTTGTAATTTGGTGCACCAGTGACTGAGCTTTTCTTGCAGGTTTGGTGTGTGTGTTTTGTCTGCTGCTGGGCCTGGGCTTCACCACCACCTCAGGGAATTACTGGTTTACCATATTCAACGACTACGCAGCCACTTTCTCTTTGCTGTTCATCGTCCTCATTGAGGTCATAGCTGTTAGTTACATCTATGGAATTAAGAGGTATGTGCTGTCATTGTGATTGTTTCCACATTTGTTACTGTAGATTAAAACCTTTTTGTTCTGGCTATAAATAATGTACTACTATTCTACTGCTGTAAAATTCAATAATCGATACGAGCATGTTTTCTACTCTCTTTAGGTTTGAAAAAGACATAGAAGACATGCTTGGTCATCGTCCCAACTGGTACTGGAAAATCATGTGGGCAGTAACCAGTCCCTTGCTCCTTATTGGCCTCTTTATATTTTACATCATTAACTACATCCAAGGAGGGACACCTACTTACCAAGCATGGAATAAAGAGCGGGTGAGTTCTGCTTTCAATATTCCCGACGTGTAGACATTTTTACTTTCTCCTCAACAGACAGTATGGATTATCATTATTGAAGGTTTGGGTTAGGTCATGTTTAACAAAGTCTCCTGTGATACCGTGCACTCCAAAAAGGAAATGAGCGGAAAAGTCTGGTGGAAAATGGCAAAAAAGATGGCGTAGTGCACTATTAAATAGGATCGTTTAGATTTAAATGATGCTGTGAATCGACGACTTCCAAATAGCTCAACAAATCAAGAAGCAAAAGTAAAGGAAATGTTTTTTTCATTAGCTCATCCAGCCAAAGGACCAAAGTCCGTCTGCCATCCAACAAGAATCTGTACTCCTCCTACAGTATTGATCTGAAGTTTTAAATTGCACATAATTATCATGTAAGTTTTTTTTTTACCCAAACTGTGCTCAAGACCAAGATTTGTTGTTTCATGAGCAAGAATGAATCGCTTTCAGGAGCTCCATGAATTCCAGTGTGAAGTATTCCACAGTGAACTGTTTGTGCGATTATAACACAGTGGAAGCGACTGGGAATGGGAGCAGCTTCACCACCAAGTGGCCACATAAAATCACAAAGCGGATGCTGAGGTGCAAAGGCTGCCATCTTTCTGCAAAGTCAATCTCTACAGACTAACTCAAGAACATTGCACAGAGATTAATGGAACGAGTTTCCATTTGGGCGATCGTGGCTCAAGAGTTGGGTGTTCGTCTTGTAACTGGAAGGTCGCCGGTTCGAGCCCCGGCTCGGACAGTCTCGGTCGTTGTGTCCTTGGGCAAGACACTTCACCTACCGCCTACTGGTGATGGCCAGAGGGGCCGATGGCGCGATATGGCAGCCTCGCTTCTGTCAGTCTGCCCCAGGGCAGCTGTGGCTACACCTGTAGCTGCCTCCACCGGTGTGTGAATGCGAGAGTGAATGAATAGTGGAATTGTAAAGCGCTTTGAGTGTCTCGAAAAGCGCTATATAAATGCAATCCATTATTATTATTTCCACGGCCGAGCAGCTGCATCCAAGCGCAGTGCAAAGTGTCTGAAGCAGTGATGTCAAAGCTTGCTGAATGTCTGGCAATCCAATGGACCAGTCTGTTTTGGTGGTTGCTAGGAGAAAGGTACTGTGTAACGTTTGGGTGGGGCACTTTATGGTGTGGGGTTGTTTCCCAGGAGCTGGGCTCAGCCCCTTAGTTCCTGCAAAATTCCATTAATGCTTCAGCATACCAAGACAGTTTGGACAATTTTATGATCCCAACTTTGTGGCAACAGTTTGGGGATGTTCAATGAAGAACAAGTATCTGTCATTTCATTTATTTACTTATAAAGCACATTTAATAACAAAAAAGAGTTGACCAAAGTGCTGTACAACGTAATAATTAAACAATAACATTAACATCATCAAACAGGTAGGAAGATTTGAATAAAAAATTGGTAACTCTCATGCAGTATAGCAGTGGTTCCCAAACTTCTTTTTGTTAGGCCGTCCTTTGTTTTTCAAGAAAATCTTCAGGCTCTAGAGGGCGTGTAAAGCTGCAAAAGGTCAGACTAATAGTTTGTTGCTTGGCCATTTAGCACTTTATAAGTCAAAAGATTTTAAAATTTAATTCTAAAACGCACCGATGAAGAGAGGCGAGCGCCGCGGTGATATGTTGTCTCCTTACACGGGTCAAGAGGCCGGCTGCAGCGTTGTGTACGAGTAGAAGCCGTGCCAGACTGGACTGACACCAGCGTATAGCTAATTAATCTGGGGCATAAAAGTTACAGCTTGGTCCAAAAATAATTACTTCAGTTTTGTCTCATTAAAGGTACAAAAATTTGAGACCATCCAGGTTTTACCTTTGTCAAGGCATTTGAATAAAGATTCCATGGGAGTGGTGTTTCTATTATCCGAAGATAAATCTGGATGTCGTAAGAGTGAACGCAGATATTATGCTTCCTAAAAATTAGGCCTGGGGGAGCATATAGATTGAAAAGGGAATTGGGCCTAATATGGAACCCTGCGGGACACCACAAGTAAATGGAGCTGTGGAGGACGTAAAATCATCAAAGTCCTCTCGGAGAGGTAGGACCGAAACCATTCCAAAGGGATACCTTTGATATCACATTGCTCCAATCGCAAGATCAGATTACTGTGGTCAACGGTATCAAAGGCTGCAGTTAAATCTAGAAGCAGGAGCACAGCTGAGCCACCTGAGTCGGTGATTAATAAAATGTTATTAACAATAACAGACTGAAGCAAATCTATCATTCAAGAGTTTGAATTCCACCAAAATCCTAATCAACCATTCTTGGAAGCACGGGGATATTTTGATATAGGGAAGGAAGTTTGATGCCATCCATGTACACAGAGATCAAACTGAAAATTAGCAGTCAAAAAAGTATAATTAAATGAATCAGAAACAGGAAGAACACCCTTCTGACACAATGTTAGTGATGACATTGGATACTACTTTGGCAGAGTTGGCTGGAGTGTAAATGAGTAATCCAGTGTAACAGCAAATTTATTTTTAAACTGCACTGTCATGTTATCTTATTTTATTCTACAATTTTATTTATAACGTGTTGTGATTTGGATGGACACGTGATATTATTGTACAAGCAGAATCCACACTCGTCAAACTGAACATCAGTGATGACATTTTTATTCAGCCATACCTTTCACATAGTTATGAGTCCTTACCAAGATTAGGATCTGGATGTTTGCAGCTGTACCACTCTACAGACTGTAGCGTTGATAGCAAAAGTTTCTGCTAATGGTGAACTGTATGTGTGGCTTCCCAGGGTGAATCAGCAGTGACGGAGTACCCCGTCTTTGGTCAGGTCTTCATCGTGCTGCTGCTGGTGTCGTCAGTCAGCTGTGTGCCCCTCACAGCTCTGTATGCCTTCTGCAGGAAGAGGAAAGATCGAGCCTATGAAAAGCGTCCATCTGCTGTGAGCACAGTGTCAGTGTAGGGACCAAACCTGTCCTGCTTCCTGGACCTCTCCATATCTGCACTTCAGCTGAGCAGCAGGAGTACAGTATTTCCTACCTAATCCAGAGTGTGTGGTGTTTGATTTGAGTTTCACCTTAGCGACGGCCCTTTTGGACTGTTTGTCTGCAAAAACGACGTCGTTCCAGTGTTGCCGTAGTAACAGCTTAGGCGACATCAGACACAGGCCTTCTTTGTTCAGAATACGCTCCATATTTCCTTTGAATCTGTTGTATTATTTGTCTCAGTTTAAAGTCAGACGTCTGTCAGTACATTCAGAAGAATATCCTCTAAATCTCAGCTGTGGAACATTATTGCTCACAGATGTAGTTTGTCTGACTGTCAGATGTTTAAATATAGTTGTAATTTGGTCATTTGCTTGTTGTTATTTTTCTAAATAGTAGTACAGTATTATGAATGTATGTACATAAGCTACTGTGAGTTTTAAATGTATTGTTTTAATCATTTTTTCCCATCTTACACACTGTAAACATGTTTTAAAGCAGTAGTGCACAGAAGTGAGCACTAAAATATCGTAGGCATCAAAAAAGGAAGTCCTGTCCTATCACACTATAACATCGCACTATAGTGGACTTTTTAAATTATTTGGACTCGCCTGTTTCTGTCTAATAAGAATAGTGATTGGTTAAATTCTCACACACATGCTAGATTAGAGCCTGTGACAACAATCTGATTACAGAGGTCCTACTTTCTGTTTTGAAGTATCTTTGAGCAAAGTGGTGTTTTTGCATCACTACCAAAAATGACACTTGATTCAAGACTCGAGCTGGACCTGTTGGACTGCACAACAGAAAGCCGAGACGTATCAAACCACATCGGCTGATTTCCTTTCTTTCTTTCTTTAAGGTAAATATGATGGACATATCAGTCATTGGGTTTTCCTGTCGTCGAATTAGAGCTGGCACTGAATTATGTGTGTACGAATTATCTGCTTTCTACAGGATTTTTGATAACTAGTTTTTTATTCATTTTAAAAGGGCTGGCAGCTCATTGTGAACCAAAATACCTGTATGAGTCAACAGTGCTGTGCCAAAACACAATTGTAATAAAAAAAAAAATTTCTTTGTACATTCCCAAATATGTCAAATGTGTATATACTGTTGGATATGTGTCATCGAATGACCGAATAATTGGACTAATCAAAAGTGTGATTTTTGATTTTTGTGCCAGTGAGTAAATAAATGATGAACTGTTAGTTTTCTTGGACATAAAGCGTCTTGTAAGTCACTATGTTGCCTTTCAGCTTCATCTGAAATTTATTTGGGGGGTTTTGATTAAAGAAGTAAGACATTTATGTGCGTGTGTGTCTTTTAGAAGACAGACGTCTCTTTTTTCTTGATGGATTCTGTCCCAGTACATCTGTTAATACCGAGTTTGAAACTGCTTCTTATATAAAGCCAGTTGACCTTTAACCATTACAAACATCAATGGAGTGATGTTTGTAATCATTTGGACTCAGATGTTGCATACTGCCACCTGCAGGTATTCATAACTGACTGTAGGAGTCAAATGTAAACTCCACAATAAGCTCCTGACCTTACATGAAAATGTCTTGTCTGTTCCTGTGTCTTGTTTTTATGAACCTTGTTGCATCTAAATCTTCATGCATATTTCATATGAGATGAGATGAGATAGCCTTTATGTGTCAGTTGCAGGTCTTTTACCCACAACCGAGATGACAGACCTTGCCGACCGTACATACAATACACAAACATCACATTGGGGAGACAGGTCAGGCTAGGTAGCGAGGAAAAAAACATCGAAATGTGTAACACAAAAGGATAATACAGGAATGCACAGATATCAACACACCATAGCACAATAAACACAGACAGCAACATGGGAAAGAGTTCCAGTGTGTACATCTGATCTGGGACCGCTGCAATCTTCGACTGCGCCTCCAGCCAACCCGATGTCCACATCAGAGGGGAGGTAAGCGTTGGAGGTGGCGTTGGATCCGGGGTAGGGAGGGTGATGCGTCAGTGAGTGCTTATCAGTATCAGTATATGTCTGTGTGTGCGTGTCCATAGTTCAGCTGAGACAGTGTCCTTCGCCCTGCCAGGCTAAGTAAACAGTCTTCCAGCCAACCCAGCCAACCTTGTAGGGAATGGGAAGAACAGACTAAACACAGTCGTTATCAGGGAGCTTTTGTTCGGCTCCAGCCTTGAGCCCACAGCTGGCTCCGAGGGGTAGCTGGATTATGATGGTGATTTTTCTTTTGCGACAACTCGTGAGAATTTCAAAGCTGTTCTTTAACACTCCGACACTGGTCTCTCAATCTCCCGTTGGAGAGCCGCGAGCTTCCCCATGATGGTATCAAACTTGCTGGTGTTTTCATTCTTGTGCTCAGAGAGCTGATTACTCACGACTGCAGTGAGCTGCTCCACGATGTGATCCAACGTCCGCTCAGAGATGTTGTTCTGAGTGGACTTTTCCTTGATGTATCCCAATATACGCTCAGATGTCTTATTCTGAGTATTCACGGCAGCTGTAAGCGTCTCCAAGCTCTTAACCATGCTGCTCTCAATGAGCCCGTTCTGAGAAGTCGCGCCTCGTCCCACCGTTTCAATCCCAGCGGGCAGCTTTGTGGGGGTTTGAACAGCCGGTTCAGCTATCTTAATCCTCCCATAAGCCAGAGCCAAGCCAGCTCCGATCAGCAAGAACCCTGTTATCATGGTTCCGAATAGGTAGATATCTTCAGCGTCCTCGATCGACAGTCCCGCCAGGCACACGATCCTCCATGTCTGCCACCCGTCCATCGTGTATCCGGCAGGGAAAGTCCCTCCAGACTTCTCGTTGAGAAAAGGGAGTCAATAGCATTCAGAGACCAGTTGATCAAATCCATAATTCTCTTTAGGTTTTAGAAACAGACTGTGAGAGACTGTTCCATCCTTGTTATGGAATACATTTTTATGAACTTCAGTTACAGGACAGGTGGTTTCATCGGTCAGGGAGGCGCTAACCTGTCACAGTTAAAAGGGAGTTTTTCCTTCTCACTATAAGTGTTTGCTCTTGTGCGGTCGTCTGATTGTTGGAGTGTTCTTTGTAGGATCTTTCACTTATAATGTAAAGTGCCTTCAGACAACTGTTGTACTGATTTTGCTCGATATAAATAAAACTGCAAGGGTTTAGAAATATGCTGAAAACTAAATATCAGCAGGTCTATGACACGATGCTGACATTCGAAACATGGGGTAGCCGTGGCTCATAAGGTGGGTTGGAAAGTTGGTGGTTTGCTCCTCGCTTGAACGTGCAGACTGGAATAGCTATCCATGGGCAAGATACTAAAGCCTGAGCTGACGCACAGTGAATTGTGTGAATGTGAAACAAGGTGCATATACAGAAAAAAGCACTTTGAATGACTCTTATAGAAAAAGCATCGCCAGCTACAATCCAACCGGTCAGTTTTACATGAGTCCTCGTGATGTTGTTTGTCAAAGGATTTTTGTATTTTCCTTTCTTCTGATGATCATGATGCACCATGATAGTATCATTGTGCAGAGTCACACTGCGTGGGGATGTAAAAAATGTCAGCTGTAAAAGTGTGATCTGGCTCACTGAATCCCAATACCTGAAAACCGATTACACATTGATGGACACATTTATTTATTAATGTACTGTTTTTGGTGTACTGAAACTATTTAGCAGCTACCATACTTTATACACACGATACCTGAAAGCCTGTTTCTCTAAAGTGAAAAAATAAAATGTCCATACCCATACAAAGACAGTGGGAAGCTGTATTTTATTCTTGGTGTTTTGCAGGTTTGACCTGTGGGGGGTCGCCCAGCATGTTTCTCTTCTTGAACATTCAGGTTAATCTGATTTGGTATTTTAAGCTTCCCTGTTTCGTCATCAACTGATCCTCGTCACAGCAAATTAGTCCTTGAGTACACCGAGGTAATTGTTGTTATGAAATGACACTGTATACAGAAACCTAAATCTAATTCAATGTAAACAGTATAGTATTACTGTTACTCCTAAAATCCTTTTGTTGAACAAGAGTGAAATCTTTGATTAATTACTGCCACGATTAGTCGATGACTAATTTAATAGTCGACGTGTTGTTTGAAGCTTTGTAAGACCCCAAAAGACGCAGTAGTAGGATTTAAGAGTGTAATAACGGACCGAGACAGAAGCACTGCATGTACAAGGATGCCAGCTGCCGTTAAACCCCGAAGAAGAAGCAGCTGTGTCCGGTGTCGTAGCTGTGTCCAAATTCAGGAACCGCGCATCCCAGCTCAGTTTACAACAAGTTAGTTAGTTTTAATGTTACTCTTATTATTCTTTCTGGGTCACAAAATAAACGTTTAACATATTATCAGGTGAGAATGTAGCTGTGTAAACCTCAAATATCTGCTCAGTTTATCAAGACACCGCATATTTTCAAAAGCGCTCCGACGTTTTCGGAGACGTCTGTTACCCACTAGCTCGATAGCGAGCCGGGGGCTAGGCTCACTAGAGCCGTGAGAACACCGGACTCCCGGCAAATCGTTTTCAAACCCACCGCCGTCTTTCCTACTCAGGTTAAACATGATATATAAGTCACTTAGATAACTTAAAATGTTATTGTTTGGCTTTTTTTTTGTATTTTATTTGTTCCTGAGTAAATCTCTTTGGCTGAGATTAAAGTTATAGTTTTTACACAGCTGAATAAACGTCAAGCAGACAGCTGATTATCAGAAGTGTGAGATGCTCAGAATTTACTCCAGTGTCCTGTTATATTTTAGATAGCAAGGAGCAGACGGCTGAGTTTATTAAACAGTTCCTATAATAAACACCTTTATTTAGAAACATCTTTGTGCATCAAATGCTATAAAATCAAAGTTCAAAGTACTTCAGTCATTACGCTGATATATGACAGTAGTTAAGATCACATCTAATCACATCCTGATATAGTCTTCAGCAGTAAACACGAGTCGCTGCGAGGAGGAAACAGATATTTTGCAGCATTCAAGGAGGTGAAGAAATATATAAAAATATTATGCTCTCACACACATTCTTAGTCAGCCAGACTCATCACAGAGACAAAAGCCTTCAGCTCAGACTGTCTGGACTGGAGCTGACAGTAACTGATGGTAGTGTAAGCTGAATTAAGGCACAGGTGTCTTCAGAGTAGATTTCCCCCAGCAGGTGCACGGGTTTTGCATGTCCTTTATCCTGTCTTCCTTCTCTCACCCCAACCGGTCGCAGCAGATGGCCCCGCCCCTCCCTGAGCCTGGTTCTGCTGGAGGTTTCTTCCTGTTAAAAGGGAGTTTTTCCTTCCCACTGTCGCCAAAGTGCTGCTCATAGGGGGTCATATGATTGTTGGGTTTTCCTCTGTATCTATGAAGCACCTTGAGGCGACTTTTGTTGTGATTTGGCGCTATATAAATAAAATTGAATTGAATTGAATCTATCTATAAATATCACCCTGAAGCATCAAACCATATGAATTAATCTGCCTGCAAACACATTAGTCACAGAGTTTTATGGGGTTCCACTTCTCAGCTGTTCTCTATAAACCTTTACATTAAACCAACAAATGATTTGTACTTCTTATTAACATAACCACAGACCAAATTCCCCTCTGAGATCCAAAGATGATAACGGTAATTCGTTGGTGCTGTGTTGGACGTTCCTGAGGTACAAACTACATGTTGAAAACTCAGCGTTCTTGTTCATCCCTGAGCTGATTTTGAGAACAAAGTACAAAAAGGCTCATCTGCACTGGTTGATACTGCGACTCTACAACAAATGACGGGCACACCTGTAATTACATAACTGCTTCATGCAGTCTCAGTTCAGTAGAGTTCATCTTGACAATAAAGAGATAACAGTTAATGATTATGTGCAGTTAGACAAGTAGGCCACCATTAAACAGTAAGGTGTGACTTAATGATAAAGGGTAAAATCAAAGCTGAAGAGGCAGTTTGCACACACACAGTTCCTTCCTGCAGCCGTCACAGCGGTGCCGTCAGATTCAGCTTTCTATAAATCTCTATTTTTACCTTTTCTACTTTCATGCTTGCTTTTTAAAAAGTGTTTTACTCATGTTTTCATACTACTGTAAGGTGACCTCGAGGGTCTTTAAAGGCGTCTCCAAATATAATGTATTATTATCCAAAGATTGGAATTAAATGAGTGCGTACTAAGTACACAGGGAGCATGAGCTCTGTAGTGCTTCACCATTCATTTGGTTTTACAGACTGGACTTCACAAAAACAAACTTCAACAACTTCAAGTGTTTAAAAACGGGAAAAAGGAATCTGACACCAAACAAATAAATTTGAAGCTGAAAAAACAAATTTATTCAACACATTTTTTTATTTTAAATAGCAAAACCCCGACGCAGCTCCACACGGGTCCCTCTGCTGCCCCTCACAGCCCGCTGAGCTCGGGTTTGTTCACTGTCACAACAGCGCTGATTGTTGGGCTTTTTATCTTTTATATTGTAGATATTTGTCTTATTAATAATAATAATAATATAAAGCACACATAAAGCATTTGAATTGAAGTGATATTGAAGACTCCAGGCGTGTTTTCAAAATACATGAACATGCACAGACCTAGAGGACGAACATTTTTATAAATGTCATTTTTAATTTGGAGCCAAAGAAATGACATCGCCCTAACATCAGCACACTGTCAGCCACGATGGTGTCTCTGTGAAGAGAATACTGTTTCGATTTGATTTATCCTTTAGTACCACAGTGACACAGATGGAGTGTTTTTCCTCTGGTGAAGTGACATGCAAAATAGTTCAATGTAATACAAGAAAACGAGTTAATGACAACTTTCTTTCTCAAGGTCCAGGGTTTCCAGGATGAATCCCCTTTCTTCATCAAGGGACCGTTTTTAACTCCACAACCATAAATCGTGTTCTAGCTGACTGGATTCTGAAGGACAAGCACACTTGGATCCCTGCAAACACTCCAGAAAAGAAGCTAAAACCATTCAAGCTAAAACTGATCTTAAAACGCAGACTATGAACCACAGGCAGTGTCTAACCTAGGACACACCAGTTCTACATGAGAATTTGCAAATGAGGAATATCTTCACAGCTATGCTGTTTGAAGTCTGATCCCCATGTTTTCATAAAAGGAATGAGGTGGAGAACAACAAGAAACACATTTAAACAGGTCCACAGCATTCCAGTTAAATGAGGAACAAAGACATCGGGTCAGAACAGCTCCTGAGTTCAGTGTCGAGTTCAGACAGACCGTCAGTCCGCTACAGTGTGGAGAGCAGCAGGCCTGTGCACTCTTCAGTCTCCTGCTGTGGTGCACAAAGCCACCCTCGCTGCCCACCAACCTCCTCGCTCCAGCGTTAGTAAAGGCTCCAGGCCTGCTGATGCAGATAAAGTGATGACGAGGAAGAGGACGAGGTGGTGAGTTTGCGAGGGCCCAGCTGCTTTCCACACGCACACATTCAGTCCAGCTTCTCCTTCTGGACCAGCTTAGGAGCGTCTACAAAGTCCCGTCCATAAAAGAGGATAAGCCCACCGGTTACTGCACTGGCTGTTCCCCAGAACAGGACGTAAGCCAGCGTCTCAGCCCACGTGTCACCTGACAGGAGACAACAGGTCGAACTGCGTCAGTGGAGGAAATTTATTTGCATTCAGTTTATTGCAGTTAGTCTTACCGGCCATTAGAAGGCAGATTATACACATGGAAAAGGCAACAACCATGATGATGGGCAACTAGAAGAAAGAAAAGCGGCATCACATTAAAGACGTCAGAAAAAGAAAATGTTGTGAGTCGAGCTTCTTGAGCTCTTCTTACTGTCAGAAACTTCCAGTCCTTGGGGTCTCGCAGTGGAGTGGTCCAGTCAGCTTCATCGACAGCATAGTTCCCCAGAAATAAATCGATGGAATCCTGCAGGAAAAACAGCCCACCTGAACTCTGCTTTGCAGCGGCATCATCACAGGTACGCTCTTCTATATGAATTACAGTTTTAACTGTGTTTTGTTGCAAAAGATTTTGCAGTGACTTTGAAGTCTTTTTGTATGCAGGTTTAAGATTTTACCGATGTCATTACTGATCTGTAGAATGCAACAAAGCAACGAGGACCACACTGAACACAGCTTAACAGTTTTTGTCTCTGCTTACAAAAGAGCAACCAAAGATGTCTTTAAGGGGATCAGCAGTTATTTCACTGAAGGGTGTGTAGCTCGTCGAGGTCATGGCTTTAAAAGAGTGAGACTGGACGTGTTTGAAGACTTTTCACCTCTCATCAGAGGCTCCTTCATTCTGGACTGTTGTTAAAAGAAGTGGGGAACATGGCCCCGTCTCTGAGCTTTTCTGAGCTCATATTTTTCTCATGTTAAACATGTTTCCATGTTTGATTCGGACTAAGAAATATGGCTTAATGAGATCTGCAAATCACTGCATTCTGTTTTTATTTACATTTCACAGTGTTGTCCAAATCTCCACAGCATCAGTGCTGAGCCCTGCTGCTCACGGCCTGATTTTAAAAGAATACGTGCCTGTAAAGCGAACTCTACCTGCATCGGTCTGATTACTCATAACATGATGATTGTGTGAGAGTCATTAGCAGCTTGTATTATTGTGATATTGCTGTAGTATCTGATGGAACAGATTCATTTCACTTTGCAATATGGCATTCACACTATTCCACACTGATGAAGTAGCACATAAAGGACGACCTGAACCCACCAGTGACGTGTGGTCAGCAGAGGTCATCATAAAAAAAAAATAATGATAATCAAATAAATGAAATCGTTTCTTTATCGAATGGTTTGATCTATGAACTATTTTTTATGAAACAATCTGATTGCACACACTAAAGACAACGATAAAGACAATGTTGGATAACACCTCCCACCCACTCCATGACATGTTGGTCAGTCACAGGAGCTCGTTCAGTGAGAGACTGAGATTACCCATGATGCACCACTGAACGACACAGGAAATCATTCCTGCCTGTGGCTCCCTGTACAACGCATCCACTTAACACACTGTTTGCTGCTACAACTACACATGTTTCTTTTCCAACTATTTATTTATAAGTGACTTATGTATGTATGTATGTATATATATGTATATATTGTACTATTCTTAGTTAGCGTATTGTCTGTCTTGTCTTAATGTTGGTTTAAAATGGAGCACTGTAACAAAAAATAATTTCCCCCAGGGATCAATAAAGTATTCTGATTCTGATTCTGATTCTGATTCTCACACAAACTGTGCCCTGCCATGCAACGAGGCACTGATAGGGGGCGCTCGTGAGTCCATGGTGCAAAAAAGGAACAAAGGGTCGGTGTGTGGACTTCATAAGTAAAGGTGAGACCATAATAAGGTTAATTTAAACAGTTTGTACGTGTAAAGAACGCTGATATGAAACATGACCTGTTAACTGCTGCCAATCAAATGGGAGGAAGGACCGGCTCAGGGCAGCAGCAGGTAGCAGTGGTGCTTCTGGTCTGCAGCAACTCCTGCTGCTGTGATCATGTGTTTCTATTTGATAAGGCAGTCGTCATTGCTGCGTTAGACTCCACGGAGCATTTCCATTCATAATTAATCTCTCAACATCTGTCTCAACCGCTGCCGCTGTGCACTGAGGCAGCTACCACTGACTTCCCACTAAATGAATGCAGAAATCAGGTAATGAAATGCTACTAAAAAGCAATATCAAATGTCCAGAACAGCAGCAGCTGCTTCACCGGCAGCACGAAGGCAGGAAGTGCCTCTACTAGCTGGCTGGAGCCAAATGGTGAATAATTTACTCTGTTGGGTTCATATTTTTGTAACTCTGACTCTGGTGGATCAGCCATGAAGCTCGTCTCTGGTACCCACCTGTCTAAAGCCATCAGAGAAGTTGTTTTTGTAATATCGGATCATCGAGTTCCAGCCGTCCATCAGCAGTCCCCAGTGTGTTCTCTTCCCTGTCCTGAAATATGAACATGAAATTCAGCACCATTAAGAAAAGCAGCAGCATTTACAGCTACTTTATCATTTTAATAAGTGTTAAAGTACAGAACTCACAGGAAAATGAAGGAGCTCAAGGACGGTCCGCAGAGGAGAACCTATCGCCAGTTAGAAACTTTCTTTAAGAGCAAGATCCAATTTGGGTTTTTGGTTTTGCCCTCACAAACAAAACATACTGTAATATTCTGATGATGTGCGGCTGTAGTGATCTTTAAATATTAGACTTCTCTGCAGGCTAGAACCAGGTATTAACCAACAACACTAACCAGCAACAGCTGCAAAGACCAGGCAGGACGCTCTTCCCAATCACATCCGTCTAGGTCTCGCTGTCACTGCCCTCATCAGCACTGAAGTCTCCCAGCATCACAGCAGAATGAACACCCTTGAGAACCTCGCCATGTCCCAGTAGCCAGCCTCGAAAGCTGCGGATCAGTTCACCAGGGCTCCTGCTCTTGCCCACTGCCCAACACACAATGGACCCAACCCCTACAGCATCTCCTGTGGGTGTCAAACCTACAAGAAGGCGGGTCATTTCCTTCTTCAAGTTGGCAGAGAACAGTGGCCTGGCCACCAGGCGTTCTCCGTCAAGCTCCCTCTCCAGGCCTTGCTCCCAGGTTGGGACCCCGATAACCCTACTCTGGTGGTGCCTGTTTTCGGACCCGGAGTTAGCAACATCCCCCAAGAACCCGAAGAGGAGAGTCCTGGCCCCTAGCCCTGCCAGTGTAGCAGAAATGATGAGGATGATGATGCAGCAGCAGCCGTTCTTCTCTGCGTGAGTAGCTTCATGTTGTTCGTGTGTAATTTACGTTGAGTAGGCTAACCACGTTATTACATTAATGCATGTAAGGTGAACTAGCAAACACCGTCGTAGTTACATGCAGCTGTCTTCTTGTTTGATGGCAGATACTCCCTTCACCCTGGCCAAAAAGGCTAAAATGACCAAAGAAAAAGAGGAAAACAGCTGAACATGAGAGGTTTTTGGACTTTGTGTGTGTTCTCCATTCTTTAAGCACCGGTTTGAGCACCGTTTAAGCACCGGCACCGTTTCAAAAGTACTGGTTTGGTACTGGTATCGGATAAAACCTAAACGATACCCATCCCTAGTGAGGAGTTCAGAGGGTCTCAGAGTACTGTTGCTTCTCCTTGCAAAGAGGCCACCTGGAGGAGGTGGCTGGGAAGAGGGAGGTGCTGCCATTCTTGCTGCCCCCAATTTGTATTTTTAAGTAGGAAAACAGTTTTTCCGTTGGGTCTGATGCTGCTAGTGTCTTCCTCACAGTGAGACATAACATGTTCATTAATTACTGGTACTGTTCTCGATAATACTCAAAGCCAAGATGTTGGTTTCGTATTGAAACTGGAAAAGTTTGATCGGTGCATCCCGATCTACAATCCACACTTTTGAAGACATCATTTATTTTGGCTTTTCTGGGAGCTTTTACTGTGTGTTCAATGAACACATGAAAAGCATCACCGTTCCCTTTTTTTTATTGCAACTCTAAAGACTCCTTATATTTTAACTGAGTACAATCGACTGTAGCACAAGTCAGAAACAAAACGCTAAAAGGAAATAGCTACTCCAAAGAAAGAGTGGGTGGTTGCTTTCACCTCATTATGGAAGAGACGACTGTCAGTTCTGATGGCACAACTTGAAGACAGGTAGGGCTAAAACAAAAACCTGTTAGCATGTGTTTGCTGTGAACACTCACCTAGTGAAGTCAGTCTTTAAGGCACCAGTTCCAGCATACTGCTTGGCACAAGCGTCAGCATTGTCTGCCCAGGCTGTGTGTGAAACACAGAAGGGGAGGCAGAGCAGGTCATTTACTAATCAGAGAGTTCGTCGTTCAAGCCCTGGCTACTCCAGTCTGCATGTCAAAGTATTCTTGAACGAGACACTGAACCCTGAGACGCTCTCTGATGCATTCACTGGAGTATGAATGTGTGGGAATGTTCAATGACTAAATGTTTTATAAAGTTATAGTCTAACCATGAAGCAAAAATGTCAAAGAGTGCAATAAGAGACCAGTCTTCTGCTCAGTGTGTGTGTAAAACTGTGACAAAGACTAAATCATGCTGGCCAGATAGTAGCTGGGACAGAGCATATCAAACTGAAGCAGTGTTTACCACACAATGCCCTTTAGATGTCCTGTAAAAATTAGTGGATCCAAAAGGTTTTGCGAGCATGCAAAGGACCAGCTGCATATTAGGCAGGGTTTAGATATGAAAACAACAAACTCTGATTAGTTGTTACTACTCAGGCTACAGCTGTGTGAGGGAACACCCACCATTCTTGTACATCTTCTCAAAGTCTGTCTGCTCTTCAATCCGCTGGCCTATGTGGAGAACTCCCATCCTCTAAAGACACACACACACACACCTTTTGTCAAATGCTCTCGAGTCTGAATGCCACTGTTTTCTAATACAGCCCTGTTTTAACTCGTTTAACCTCTTAAGCCCCAACGCCCCCTGATACGGGGGCAAAAGGCAGGGGATCAGTTGGGCTTGGGGCTTAAGAGGTTATGCAAACATTTTCCTTGTTTACCTGCTGCCTTCATTTAGAAGAATCAAAGCAAATATAATCCCACTGCAAAATGGTATGGAGTTAATTTCAGTGCATTTGCAGACAGCAGTGGGACTACTTTGACTGTAAGGTGCCAGGAGGAGCACCCAGATCTGAAGAACAATCATAGACACAGCAGGGTTTCAAAAACCCGCTCAGCAACAAGTCTGCTATTCTCAGAGGAACAGGTGACCTTGGAGTGATGTGGCCTCTGTCCCTACGGACACAGCTGCAGATACTACAGTGCAAAGCAGTACAAACAGAACGTTTTGTTGTCATTGGTTAGCTTTAATGCACCAACTAAGGCCAAGAAGAATTGCAGACAGTTACATCTAGGGCAAATTAATCACGTTTCAGGAGAGGAGACGTACTCCTGATCATGATCAATGACCAGTTTATTGACATCAACAGATTGCTGCTCAACAGTCCTTCAGCTAGATGAACTCACTGATGAACTGTGTGCTCAGATACTTTTATTTGCTCTTTGGACAGAAGCAGATGTTGACATGATGGTGAAAGTGTAAAGAAAAACACCAACATAAAGGCCTGGGACTGATTCAGTTCCATTTCATTTATTTATATAGCACCAACAGACAACAACAATCACCTCAAGGTGCTTTGCAAAGCAAGGAAACAACCCTACAATCACACAACCCCCATGAGCAATTACTTGGCAACAGTGGGAAGGAAAAACTCCCTTTTTACAGGAAGAAACCTGCAACAGAACCGGGGGGGGGGGGGCATGTTGGGGGAGAGAGGAAGGAGACGAGAGCGCCAGCTGTGAGCAGAAAGGAGGGCTTGTTGTTCTTGCAACAAACGGTTGTGTAACTCTGCTCATATAACAATCAAGTTGTGGATTTGTTGCCCGGACACTGAACTGTGCGCTGTTGGACCCAGGACCCATGTGGCTGTTTATGTTCCTCCCACTGCTACCCCACAGCTCACAGCTGCATGGGACATTATTCACTCTCCCATTGGCCGGTTACAGACTCAGCTTACAGCCTCTCTGGTGACTTCAAACACGTCACTGCCAACTTCACACAATATGTGGTCGGTCCTGCCAGGGGGGAGAGACTTTTAGACCTACTGTATGCTAATGTCAGTCTCCTCTGTACCCCCACTGGCTGGGTCAGACAAAAGCTGATTCAGTTCACCCTCCACTATGCGCCTGTTGTGAAGAGGGAGCCTGTGACCACCAGTAGTATTAGGAGGGGGTCGGAGGAGGCCTCAGTGGAGCTACAGGGCTGTTTTGTGACAGACTGGGAGACTGTGAGTGTTTCACCGACTACACCTTCCACACCGACTCCACTGTCCCAGCTCAGACATTGTTATCCAAATAACAAGCTGTGGGTGACGAGGACATCAAAGCCCTCCTCAACGACAAGAAGAAGGCCTTCAGACTGGACAATAGAGAGGAGGTGAGCATGGTTCAGTTACTGAAAGGTAACATCAGACAATAATTACCGGAGAAAGCTGGAGCAGAACAGCATGAGCGAGGTGTGGAGTGGCATAAAGACAGGGGCTCCTTAAAAGCTGGGGCCGGTACGTTCCAAGCGATCTAAGCAGGTGACGTCGTGAGACTGCATCCCAGCGATTGGCTGGTCAGTAGCGTCACTCGATGAGTCATGAGAGCGTCTCGTTCATGAAAGTCAAACCTGCCGTTCTTGTAACCCGGCAATGAGGGAAATACGAAACAAAGCCACGGTCCCCGAGTTTGACGAAAAGCCAGAGACCGAGCAGCGGGTATATCGACGCCTCCACTTCCACCTTTTTTGTACCATTCATGTTGCATACTAACTACGTTACAGGATGCTAGGCAGCAATGACAACAACCAGGCACATTAGGTGCTACTCAAGTGTAAGGAAAAACCAACTGTGGTGAGCCATAGCAAGCTGATCAAAGTAGGTCCGATTAAAAAGGGGCTAATGTGCTCAATGTGTTTTTCAACAGATTTGACACTGCAGTAAACGCTCAGCCACTCTCTCCCTCTGTTCATGAGTCTGAGTCTGCAGAGGCTCCCAGTGCTGAAGACGTCCTGCCCTGGTCCTGTACCAAAGTCGACACATTCCACTGACCCCAGGATTGCAGACCTGTGTCACTGACTTCCCAGGCAGGCCTGGAGGACGCCATCATCTACCTGCTCAATGGTGTCTATGCACATCTGGACCAGCCGGCGAGCACTGTGAGGGTCATGTTTTTTGACTTTTCCAGGCGTTCAACACTATCAGGCCGACCCTCCTGGGTGATACGCTGACAGCGATGCAGGTGGATGCCTCTCTGGTGTCCTGGATTGCTGATGCAACATTGTGTGTCAGGTGATCAGCAACACAGGGACCGTCCTCTCTTCTTTCCTCTTCACCGTGTACACCACAGACTTCAGCCACTGCACAGAAACCTGCCATCAGAGGTTTTCTGATCATGAATGCATCAGTGACAGTGAAGAGGCAGAGCACTGGGGGAAGTGGGTTGAAGTGGACATCGTGGAAGACTACAAGTCCGTTGGAGTACATAGATAATAACCTGGACTGGATTAAAAACAACACTGCACAAGTGGTTAAGGTCTTTTAACATCTGTCAGACGATGCTGTCTGTTGTGGCAGTGCCATCCTCCATGCTGCTGCACGCTGGGGGAGCAGGCTGAGGGTCGCAGATGCCAAACACTCAAACTGATCCGTAAGGCCAGTAATGCTGTGGGGACGGAGATGGACTCCTTAAGGTGGTGTCGGAGAGGCGGATGTTGTCCAAGATGAGGCTGGACAATACCTCCATGACATGCTGGCCAGTCACAGGAGCACGTTCACTGAGAGGCTGAGATTTACCCATAATGCACCACTGAACGCCACAGGAAATCATTCCTGTCTGTGGCCATCTCCCTGTACAACTCCTCCACTGATACAATAGTACAATAGCGCACATCCTCTGCAGTGAAAGTAACGACATTTTATAGATTAGAGTAAAATGTACACGATATATATTTAATCTCTGTAATATTGTGGATATTTAGACTCGAGCTAGTTCAGTCTGTTACTGTTCTTATCGTCTCTGACCACATTGTTAGGGATCAGTGAAACCCCAAACAGACCAACAACCTGAAGGAAGCATTAAAGCAGAAAGTGGCCACTTCAAGGCTGCTCAGACTGAGCACAGTGCAAACAGGTTACACAGATTTGAGCCTTTACCTTTATACAGGCTTTGTATCAAGGTGTAATGTGTACAATTAATCATCACCAGTTAAATAAAGCAGTATCATGTTCGTATCAGTATCACATGCTGTTTATTTATTTGTGCATTCTTTCTGTTTACACATGAAAGCACTTCTGTAATTTGGCCTCTGCACACGTACTGTGTTAGATTTTAAACCAAATAATGACCTTCAGCTCAGATTTAAGGAGTTTAGCAAAATTATTACATTAACTGATTTGCAGTTAATGAAAAATGAATTCCAGCAATCTAAAAGGAAATACGGTCCAATGGAAGCGAGGGAGCTCGAGGACGGGTCGAGAGCCCAAATAAACCACAGAGCTCACCAAACCTTTAGGGTAACCAGCTCAGCCATCAGTAGAATTCAGAATTTAGCTTGCAGGGGAAAAGCAGACCAGCACAGCTCAAGAGCAGTATATGAAAAACATGGTTGTGCGTTGCTCTACCTCAAAATGTCGGGGTCCTTTCCACTGACTGGAAAAACTTCCTAAAACAGGCTGGATTCCTGTTTTTGTTAAACCCTTGAATCACTTTAGTCACATACTGACTGTTGGGTTTAAAATCCTTGTGGTGGTGAACAGAAACAGAAAACATGACTCATACGTCTAAATGTGTGTAAGTGTGCTTGTACAGTAAAGTACTTCAAGGTTTCCTGATGGTGCTGAAGGATAAGCAAGTTCTTGCATGTGAGAACCATTACGCATTATTATATGTGACTATGCATTTAATACCTGCAGCTGTGACTGAAGAGAGCGTCGGGCCAGCAGGCTCTGGATGACATTTGTACGATCCAAACAGTCCATGCAGTTGCTCCGAAAAGTTCCCTCCTGATTTAACAGCACCTTTCCATCTGCATCCACTAGGAAATATCTGCATCCATATGCACAACATTACTTCTCATGAAGAGTGTATTACTATTGGACAGACACAAGCTGCTCTACTAGCTCACTGACCCAAAGTCATCCTGCATTTCAGCAACCATGTCCAGTAAGATCTGAAGGCGGTGCCACCTCATGTGGCTGCACTCCTTATGAAAGTCAAAAGCTATGTACCTAGACAAAAGCGAGGCTTTAATTACCTGAGGAAAGCAGGATGTCGAGTAAATGCCAGACAGATGAAGCCTGAGGCTGAATTAGTGGTAATCTTACTTGATCAAGCCATTACCCAAGTTTGTGACCATGTTGTCGAATGCCAGCTCCAACGGCTTTTCTGAGCCTTTTTGGTTTATCTGTGAAAGAACAGAACAAATAAAACAAAGAGCCTTTGCAAACGATTGCATATGGGTATGTGTGGGTTTGCTGTTATTTCATTTGACTGTGAGGTTATATCATGGTCTTGTAAATGCAAAAATCAGTAGCTAACGGATTGTTCTCACCAAGTTCAAAGTGACTTGTCTTCCATAGAGGATGATCTGGGAGTCAAAGTGTCTCTGGAATCCGTCCAGCTACGACAAAAACAGGAAGATTTCAGAAATGAAGATAAACAACAGGTATTTGTTTTTTCACTTGAATCTGCATGCAAAGAACTTACATGGTTGACTGTTTTGCTGATCTGTGGTTTTGGTTTGTACCTGAGATTAGGCCTTTGGGACCAGTAGAAGGGGATGGAGCCTCTGGTCTGCAAACACACCATTAACAACGAGAATTTGAAATCAGAGGAGAGACCCAGAGAAGGCAGAGTTTCTGAAGCGTGTCTACAGGATGAGCCCATGAAGCTCTTGGTCGCTCAAAAAGACCCAACTGTGGAGACATGTATGGCTTGAGATATTAACTTTAATAGATTAAGCTATACATCCATACGTTACATTAAACCAGCGCCTGTGTGAAAATAGCTGAAATATCCAAACAACATGAAGGGTCCCATATTTGATCAAACACATTGTCCCTACTATGTAACTCGCATGTTAGGTAACCCAATGACACACATTCCAGTACAGTCCACTGTCTCCGAGGTTTAGATGGGGCCTTGTCCGTGATCCAGTTCAAAAGGACGCACTTGCTTGCACAGATGTTAACAGCCTGTAAAGCTGCTTTTCTAATCTCCCCGATTTTGTCATTCGGAGCAGCAAACACGACGGGTTCAGCGGCAGCAGAGATCTGATCCAGGTCACACTTTATGAACAATACTGCTGTATTTTTCTGCATGAGCACAGACAGTGAGTGAGGTTGTCCACCTCTATTTTACACTTAGGGCAGAGTAAGGCCTGAGTTATATACGTGGGCTCGGTGTGAGACTTGCATTTGGACTGCTTTTACTTCATTGCACTCAGATATTTAGCATTCTCCCAGACTTGGTCCCAGGTGCCTTTGCAGTGATTTAGATGTTAATCTGTTGAATTTCTGAACACGATTTGTCTTCAATCATCCAGGTAAGTAAATGCCACACTCGCTCACAGGTCACCTGATGAAACGCTTCGTCCAGATGAACAGAATCAACTTTTTGGAATTTTTCTGTTTCTTCATCTTTTTACATTGTTTTTAGAGTAAACTTTTTTGCACCCTGGGAAGCCAACAGACTGAAGGAAGCTTTTGGACCCATGTTCCTTCACTTACTGAACATTTTCCTATTTGCTATCGTTGGTCTGAACGGCAGATTTCATGTAATCTCTGCTGGAGCACTAAGTGTTTGGCTCACCTGAACAAAAGAAGCCTTTGCACCGTTGTACTGCACTATCTGCTCTGTTTCCACATAGTTAGCAGCGTGTCCTTCTGAATCAATGCCTACAACAAAAACACACAAACACACACAAAAACTGTTGACAAACTCGGTTATCTGAATCCTTCAAAGTCATGAGGAGCTGATTAGCTTGTCACTGACTTGAGGTGCAAACGCACTGACTCCACTATGTTCAAATGACTCGTGCGCTCGCTGCATGTACCCACCTGCAGTTAAGCAACGTGTGCGCTGGGCCACTTGAACAGGTGGAGCCAGGCTGTGTCTGCTACACTGCTCAGGTGGATAGTATGTGTCAAACACAGCAGGATCCTCCCAGAACAACAATATCCTTTCTGTAAATTCTTCTAATCTTTTTAGTGTTGTTATAAAAACAGAAGAAAATACCACAAAATGCATTTACTGAGAACATTTCTTCAGAGACATAAAGCAGCCAGAACATTCGGTCAGGGCTCAAAGTAGGGCTGGTTTCTAGAATCGATTCGATTTGAATCTGGGAAATTTTGCCTCAGACAGTCAGAAATATTATAACTCAGATCAGCACATTTACATCTTTTTGTATCTATAAAAAGGAAGCTGACACTTTCCAGACTTTATCAAAGGTGTGAGCGTCACAGCAGAGGCCTTTGTGTCAAAGCAGCTGAAGATAAAACAGAAACACATGAAGGAGATTTTCCTGTTCTGGGATTTTATAAAAGTATTCTGCAGTCGATCAAAAACGAAAGAAAACCATTAATCAACAATGAACATCACCTCTGACGTTACAGCGGTTTGATTAGAGACACAGCGTTTTGCATTTTGTATAATTTTAAAAAGTTTAAATTTGTTCAGAAGCCTGTTGAACGGCAGAAATTAGGTTTTCTTAGTAAAAGGAAAAAACAGCGGCCGACAGCCTGTAAACAACGTAGACTTGTGCGTAACAAGCAAGCGAATAATGAAGAAAACAGATTTGTAGACGGGAAACTGTTGTTGAAGTACACAGAGAGAGGGAGAGAGCTGTGCATGACGTGCAAAACAGCAAAAGTCAGAGTGAGTCCATGACGATGTTTATGTGAAGCTTAGTTTGGATCAATGTTGTTTGGAGAGAGATAAACTAACAGCTTCTGAATCAGCGCAAAAAGGGCGTGAACATAAAGCTCGACCCGCCGACACATCAGAGTCAGCGAGCTTTCAGCCCCGACCGTGTCCGTGGCGTCGGTGAGAAAGTCACAGCTCACTGATTCTGATCCGTCGGCGGGGCCGCGCTGTGTGTGTTGATATTTTGTGAGGTTTCACCTGAGATTCTGGCGTTTTGGGCAAAATAAATTCATATTAAAAAAATCTGGATTTTAATGACTCGATATCACGTTATCCAAGCGAGAATCGATTTTAATCGATGAATCGATCATCAAAACCCAGCCCTAGCTCAAAGGACATAAATTACCTCGGACATAGTAGCGGACCCCTGCTCTGAAACAGCTCCTCCTGGAGATAACGCTCCACTCAAACACCTTTCCACTGATGCAGCTCGACTTCACAGTGATGACTGATTAGCACGTGTTAAGGACACAACAGTGCTGACAGGAAACATCACCACATGTAGGGATATGATATTAAAGACTCACTGCCAAAAAAAATTGAGTATGAAACATTTGTAAGGTTTACTCAAGTTTAGTCTAGTGGTACGAAACATCTACACTGCGGTACATTTTTAAACAACGTCCTCTGGATGTTTTTATTGTTATGTTATTACTCATCTGATAGTTTTCTGTCAAGAAGAAGAAAAAAGTGCTCCAGCAATCACAACAAAGCATTTAGAGCGCACAGACCAGTCTGCTTCAGTGGTCATTAAATGACACCGTCCAGTTCCACTTTACACAGGTAACATGAAAGCTGCCATTCACTAAGGAAACAGGAAAGGATACAGCCGTGGACAACAGGAAACACAAACATGTGCAGCTGTGAAAGGAGAGCAGCGGTAAATGTTTCTATGTACAGCAGCAGAATATTTAAACATGTTGAAATGAAACTGTCTGCTACAGGCGGACCTTCTCCACAGTTACACATATTTTGGAAAATGAAAAATGGACGGTGAGCTCAGCAGCTTTGCTTCTGTATAGAACTGCAGGAGACAAACTTATTAGCTGAAGCCGTTTTGCAGCTACACATCTGCTGTTTTTATTTTTCCCGATGACACGATTCACTGAAAACAGCATCAACTCCTTAAGTCGTCTCGCTGACTGACTTGAACATTTCAAAGTTTCCATGACACAAGCTCCTTGGTTACGTTGGCTACATGTACCATCGTTTTCCTGCTAAATCGTAAAATGTTGCTGGAGTGAATTCACCCTGGTGCCTCTGGCAGCAGGTAAATGATCAGTACATTAGGAATTTTCATCAGATGAGAGGGTGCTGGAGCTCATCATCCTACCTTGTTTTGTGCCACACTTTTCCTCACTCCATCACTTTGATGGTTGATGTTTTCCTCATCAAGTCATAGAAATGCTTCTAGTGTGTTTTGGATTACTGCAGCCTTGCCTCTCTTCTTTTCTTAATTGCTCACAATGAAACAAACTCTAGAGCCTTATGGACTGAAGGGATTTCCTTCACCATGCTAAATGTTTTCTTGTGCTTTTTATAATCTTCCTTACTCACTAAATAATTGGATCTTACCTCTGGCTGTGCTATGAATTCTCTCAACAAGTGTCCGTTCCACACAAATCGCTGATCTGCCTGAAACAAGAACAGATACAGAATTGCAAATCAAGCCGAAGCTACTATTAACTGAGATAACGTACAGTCCTCTGTCCTAAACCACCCCGTTCTTTATATTTTGTTAAGAAAACAGGAAATAGGTGCAGCAATTTATTGAAACATATTCTAGCATAAATGATAACACAGCTCATACTGAGTTCTTACAGTCCTAACAAACTTGAAAGTCAATATTTGGTATGACCAGCTTGAGTTATCAACACAGTCTCAAGCCTCTTCAGCAGCTTCAGGAATGGGAGGCAGAGCCTTCAGTTTTCAGGCCCCTCTTCTGTGGAACCAGCTTCCAGTTTGGATTCAGGAGACAGACACTATCTCTACTTTCAAGATTAGGCTTAAAACTTTCCTTTTTGCTAAAGCATATAGTTAGGGCTGGACCAGGTGACCCTGAATCCTCCCTTAGTTATGCTGCAATAGGTGCAGGCTGCCGGGAATTCCCATGATGCATTGGGTTTTTCCTTTCCAGTCACCTTTCTCACTCACTATGTGTTAACAGACCTCTCTGCATTGAATCATATCTGTTATTAACCTCTGTCTCTCTTCCACAGCATGTCTTTATCCTGTCTTCCTTCTCTCACCCCAACCAATCACAGCAGATGGCCCCGCCCCCCCCTGAGCCTGGTTCTTTCTTCCTGTTAAAAGGGAGTTTTTCCTTCCCACTGTCGCCAAAGTGCTGCTTATAGGGGCTCACATGATTGTTGGGTTTTTCTCTGTGTGTATTATTGTAGGATCTACTTTACAATATAAAGCACCTTGAGGCGACTGTTGTTGTGATTTGGCGCTGTGTAAATAAAGTTGATTTGAGTAGTTCTCCAGGCATGTTGGAGAACATTCAGAGATCTTCTTTGGATGTTTTGCTGTCTTTTACACTGTTTACACTGCTTCAATAATGTTGAGGTCTGAGCTCCGAACAGTGTTATGTGAGGTTTTCAGGTATGATTCTCCTGGACTGGAAGCATGTTTGGGGTCAAATGTAAAATGCTGCTGTCAACAAGATGTTTTCCAGAAGTTCTTATATAGTGGAGCAAAATCTGATGGTGCTTTTCTTCATTCATAATGCCATTGATTTTGATAGCTGCAGACACTCACTGTTGGACCTCTCTTTAGACCTCTGAGTGCACAGCGATGATAATAAGAGCCAAATGTTTGGATTCATCACTTCATGAGACTTGTTGATTTTCAATCCTGTTCTTGTGTGATTCGGCATACCTCAGCATTTTCTCCCTGCTTCCCGTCCTTAACAATAAATTCTTGACAGCCACTCTGCTATCATTCCTGAGGAGGCTTTGATAAACAGGCTCAACTGACAATCCAGACGCATGTCTCATGTCCTGTGTCCAGGTCCTGTAGCTTTTACTCTTTCCTCTATTCGGCCTCTGATTTTTAAGAAGCACCAAACAGTATAGGTATGTTTAAGAGCTCTTTGGCAATCAACTTGTTGGTGCAAAAACATTAAACGGTGTTATCTTTGCCATATTCAAGTAGAAATGGGAACAAATGATGTTGTTTTATGATAGGCTGCCTAAACAGACTTTAATTTAAAACTTGTTCACTGCTTAGTTGCCTTTTTGTGTGTAGACACAACCCAGGTTCATGCCGTGAGTTAGGAGCCTGAACTATTGCTCAAGAGCACTTTCAACACAAAAAAAGAAAATCAGAGTCTGGCTCCTTGGAAGCAAAGTATATAGAATTTTGTTGGATTTCCATATTATGATCATTTATCGCTGTGTGTCCAACATGTTTAACCATGATTTGATGGTCTCACCCTACCCGAGGTCAGAGATACAAGCTCTCCAAAGTGCTGCTCATAGGGGCTCACATGATTGTTGGGTTTTTCTCTGTATCTATGAAGCGCCTTGAGGCGACTGTTGTTGTGATTTGGCGCTATATAAATAAAATTGAATTGAATCTTCCTCGCTCACACTTGAATGAATTAAACAAGTGCAGCGTTAAAAAGCTTAACTTTGCTGGTCAACACCCTGTTAGTGATAACTGGTACATGTGGAATTAGTGACTGAGACACGTCCATATTTTAACAAAAAACCAACCTCTAAACCAGGGGCCCCCAGGCCTCGAGGGCCGGTGTCCTGCAGGTCTTAGATGTGTCCTTGATCCACAGCTGATCTAAATGGCTAAATGACCTCCAGAGGCCTGGCAATGAACTAATCATGTGACTCAGGTGTGTTGACCCAGGGTGAGATCTAAGACGCCGGCCCTCGAGGCCTGGAGTTGGACACCCCTGCTCTAAACCATTATTGAAAAAAGAAGTGCTTCCAGCTAAGCCCTGAACTGCAGCCACACAGTCGTCCAAATACACAAACAGTTCAAAGACTTTACTTCAGAAACATCTTACCCTCTCCAGAAGGCTCATCTCCTGAAACTCTGGGCTGGTGTTTGCCAGGCGCTGCAGAGTGTGTGTCAGATCATAGTCGGTTGCAAAGTAGAAACCGTCTGCATGAAGCATGCTGTTAATCATGGACAGGAAGGTCTTGTTGTCTTGCATCTGCAACAAGAAATAAATCCAGCAACAAAGCAAGAGATACACACGAGCCGACAATACAACCTGGGTGAAGCAGCTGTGATCTCTGCTTGAGCAATAATGTTTCACGTAAGGAACATCTGAACATGCGTACAAAGGCTACGTTCACACTGCAGGCCAAAGCACATCACCCTATGTGACCCGTATACGACCGTGCTGTGACAGTGTGAACGGCACGAATCCCATATTTTCAAATCGGACCTGGGTCACTTTCGTATGTGGTGCTGAATCCGATACATATCCGATGTTTTAGAAAGCGACTGCTGTTTGATGGTCATGTTGCATGAAATCTGTCTTTTACGCTGACACAAGACAGATGCCAATTATCAGCTCCGGAGAAGACAAGCGAGACAGCACGGCGGTAACTGGAGACGGAGCGAGTCAATGGACAGAAACTGAGGTTTTGGACTTGATTAGCATATGGACAGTTTATGGAGAGTTTATTGAACCATCTGACAAATTTGCTTAAAAAATTAATTCAATTAATTGAATTTTAACTTCAGGAACACTGTTCTGGGAGTGCACTAACTCTCCAAAGACACGCCCGTGGAGATCACTGGTGTCCATCAGTGAGAAAGATTATCCACACGCTCGTTCTCGATTCTTTCACAAACCATAATCTTGTCGATTGGACGTCCCAGTAAATTTAACTTCCTGTCAGATTGTGCAATAGAGGAGATGTTGGGCCGTAGTACACAGCACAAACCAAACACATTAGCAAAAATACTTCAGGGGTCATTTGGATTTGTTTTCTATCCACAGGACACGGGGACCTGACAGGCACCGAGTGGACCATGAAGTCATGAGCATACCAAAGTATCTACCATCAAATGTGAGGCCAACACGTGTGCTCCACAGCAAAGCCTAGCTAAAACTGGGTCAACAGCACATCCATCTCAAGCTCAGCAGCAAATCTGTAACACAATGGCTGAAAAAAGACAAGACGGTGATGCAGTTGCTGCATTTAAAGTTCAAAACTCTCTGGACTTTTAGATTTCTGTGTATAAACACGTGGCTGCAAACCTCAGTGAACTGAAGGAACTCTGTAAAGAAGACAAAAGTCCTCCACAATGATGTGTTTCCTTTGTGTTACTGCTGTTAAAGGTTGTTCTGCTAAATTCTACTAAGGCGCAGAATCAGAAGACACTACCTGGTTGTCTGTGAGGTGCAGTATTGTCTTTTTATAGGAGATTACGTCAAAGTCCAGAGCCTTCCACACAGCATGGCCCAGCAGATCTCCCACCTTCCTCTTCTTTGTGATGACAACCAGGTACATGCCTTCCAGAAAAAGGAGAAAGCAGAGCAAAAATGCACTGGATTATCCAACTTCCAATATTTCACAGTAGAATAATGTATCTCCATACTGTGTGCATGCTGATCTTACCTGCCACTAAGCGTATAGTTCCCATCAGTCCACATATTGGCCTGGTCTCAGCTGATGCAGGGACATCCTGTCTCACTGAGAAGGGCGACAGGGACACAACAATGGTTTTTATGGACACAGGAAATATATCTGTAACATCATCGAAGCTGGGATTATAACTAAGGAGGCCATCTATTATCGTTTCATGATCTACTCTCCAGACTTACTGCAGCCCAACAGAGAAAAGAAATCAACTGAAGATCAGAGAAAATCTTGGCACTCCCACAATTTCAGCCCACGCCAAAAAAGAAATAACAAAACAATAACAAATAAGAAGGAAAGTATCCTCAAACGTGTTTAACACTTAGCCACACATTGTCTTCAGAATCAAAATACTCTGTGGATGTTATGTGGTCAAATATCTTATGTATGCAAACGCGCGGTCCAACTTCTTATCTGGTGCACGTCTTTTATTTTGACAGCGAACGCGCACCACTTATGTGCAGCCCATTTATACAAGCGCTTTTAACTATGCTTTAAATCAAACATTCACACTCTGATGGATCAGAGAGCAACTTGGGGTTACTATCGTGCTCAAGGATGTTTACATGCAGACGGGAAATCTAAATCACTATCTGCCAAATCAACTAAATTTAATGGGAGATGTTTTTGTTTCGTTTTTTATAAGATCTAGAAAACATTTCCTATTTTAATGTTCACACAAAATACAGTTTAGCTAGATATACTGAAGTGTTACTTAAAGTGTCTTTCTTATTGTATTTTTATATGTTTTTATTGTACTTTTTATATTCCTGTTGTACAGCACTTTGGTCGGCCATGTGTTGTTTAATAAATTGCTTTATAAATAAACTATGGCTCAAATCAGAATCAGAATACTTTATTGATCTCTAGGGGAAATTAACAGTGCTCCAGTCCAAACAGTAACAAAAACAGACAATACAGGAAGTAAGAAATAGCACAATAAAAAGTGTCTATCAAGACTGGCAAAAAAATCTTTTGAATTTTATAAACTTTCTTTAATTCCATATTTAAATAACAATAAACTTAAATGCCATTTTGAGCTGCAGCTCAGCATGTGGAGCCGATCATCTGCTACCTGTGCTTCAGTCTACATGCCAAATATCCTTCAGCAAGGTAGCGACCCGGGCTGCAGTGTGACTGTTAGATGGAAAGCGCTTACACAGAAACAGCTGCGGGGTGAATGAGGCAGGTTGTGTAAAGTGCTCAGGCAGAGCAGAGCTGTCCATTCACCATAACGAGCAGAGGTTTTCTTTGGGCTTTTCATTAAAGGTTTAAATGGTCTCAGTCGTTTGTTTTCTTCTACATTTTTAGACAGCATCCCGACCTTTGGCAGGGGGCGTGTCCATTTGCTTACCTGTTAGAGTCATCTCAGTTGACACCCTGTCAATAGCCAGGACATCCACGGAGCCATCATCACAAGCTTCTATGTAAAACTTCTCTGGTGTGGTGCGCCTGATGCGAAAGACAAGACCCGGTTTAAAAGCCACCATGAGCCCGTGGGCAGCTCACATTAGCAGCGCTGAAGGAGCCGGTTACTGCTCTGGAACATGGCTCCATCACATCTTCTAACCTCGCTTAGAAGCTCAGTTACTAAGTTGCGTTGCTCGCGTCCATATTTAAATGTGTTATTTAAATGTGATTAGAAACAACTGAAATTGTTTAAAAAAACAAAACAAGTTGGGATAAAACGGACGTTAGCGTCAGCTCCTCGACAATTAACGAGAAGCTGACGGAACGTAACTCAAACGTGTCGTTGTAGTTACACTCCTACTAAAGACGGGCACGCCTCTCCACGCAGCGTGGACCGTAAACCAGGCTGTGTGATGTTACTGTTTCGTTCTGCAGCACTTACAAGCTGAAACTCTGGAAGGTGTTCGCCATCTTTGCTCCCGAAATCTCAGTGACGTCAGGCTACTTCCGCCGTCAGCTGTGAGCGCGCGAGCGTTTGTTCCACCTGCAGCGTGAGCGAGCTCCACGTGCGGCCGGACACCGGAACAACACGGTTCTGTAGAACAATAAGCAGCATTGGTTAAAATGCCATCTTTACATTTCCATGTAACGCCTTACTTATGTAACGCGTTACTGGACTACATTTAGTTGTGTAGTTGCGTTACAAAAGTTCTTCAGGCGGATAGAAAGAAAAAACGTTTTGTCCTTCTGCACATCAGAGCAAAGCAGAAGCAAATTTTAATTTCTTTGTAATATTTTGAGCGTTAAGGAATAACAGAGACGGCTTCGACCTCAGCCATCGCTTAATTTCCGGAACTGGACATAAAGACACCGGCACAGCACTCAAAACACTGCTGCCCCCTGGTGGTCAAACCCGTGTGAACCAACTGTTACTTCATAATGTTCCTCCCCCTTTAACTGAAACTACTCTGTAGTTTAATTAGTAAATAAAATACCCATATAAAAACTTAACCTTATATATATAAATATAAAACAAACCCCACAAAATTTACTCAAATTTCACTCACTACTAATTAACCAGCCATCCGACAGACTTCACTATAACAGTAAAATCCTGTCAGTGCCCCTTCCTGTTATTATCAGTCTCTCATATGCTCCAGAGGTCTCCTGCTTCTTTTCTTTCCTTTTTTCCTTGAAAGTTTGCACCGCTCACCACTCTCAGGGGTGCAGCAGGCCTGTGTCTGTGTTCTTGACAAGTAATGCGGGACTTTGCCTCATGCTCAATGTCAGTCTCCATATGTGGCCACCACAGGTAACTTCTGGCCAGGCCCTTCACGCGGCTCATTCCCGACTGTGATGTAGCTGTTCCAGCATGGGGCAAGAACGCCGTTCTGGTATCACCACCTTCATCTCATGAAACAAACGTATCAATGCCTTATGATCCATGATAATCATAAACATCCTGCCATACAAGTACTGATGGAGATACTGTACACCAAATATTACAGCTAATCCTTCTTTATCCGGCTCTGAGTAGTTCTTTTCTCCTACACTCAGTGTACGTGATACAGACACAGTGGGTTTCTCCTCACCATCTGGCATGCAGGGAGGACTCCAGTGCAGAAAGACACAATTTGTGTCCCAATGGCCGTTCCTTATGGGAATAATTTATACTGGGACCTGGAGTGGAAGAGAATTTGACCTTTCCATCGAAATTCCTGTTAACCAACAAAGTAAAGAAAATGTCTTTTGAAATCATTCATCGTTTATACCCCACCAGAACTTTTCTTGTATAAAAAAGACGCTGATGTTAACGGTTCATTTTGTTACTGTCTCACTGCACTAATCTTTTGTGGACAGATTTTTGTACTTTTGTTGTTTCTTTTATTTATTCTGACTTCTCTCTCTGTTGTGGGAAATATTTTTTTGATTAATCTGCAAATAGGGCAAACACATTTTATTTGATTAATTTACTCATTTTACTGGCTAAAATTCACAGACTTCCATAATGTAAAAGCAATTAAAACTCTAAACCTATGCTCCTGTGATATCGTGTGATTCAACCCTTAGCCTGTGTCTAACTGTTAATAAATGTAACTCCCTGACAGTGTCTTTGGCTTATTTAACTGTTTGAGTTGCTAAAAAGTTTTGGGTTTTTTGTTAAACTTTATTTATCACATTTTAGACATACAGTTAGGTAGAACAGGAATCACATAAAAGATGACATTGTGGTGTTACAATGAGGAACAATGAGAGTGAAGGGACAGTGAGACTACAGTGAGTACAAAATAAAATCAATTAAGGGGAACATAAATAAACAAAAGTTTGCGAGAGCCAAAATCAAGTTTCAAACAGTTCCAGATGTTAACTTGAGAGCCTCGGTGTTCTTTGATGAGGAGATTGTCCTTATATATTGTGCGAGTTCTATTTTTAATACAAGAAGTTCAGGCTTTCTGCCGAGGACTTTGCTTTTGTGCATGTGAAGTTTTGCCAAAACTAACAAACATATTTATAAAGAAGAAAGCATCACTGTCCTTGTGTTTAAAATGATAACAGCCAAAGATAAAGTCCTTGTAGTATAACTGAAAATTAGGGAGAACAGTAATAAACTTGTGGAGGTCCTTCCAGAATTTACATGTACATGTACATTACTGGTACATTGTATCTCCTGAGGAACTCAGAGTAATTATATAAGAGTCCATCTTCTCTATTTAACTGACTAATCAAGATTATTAAACCAGTTATTTAAAACAAGAGTTTTATTTTTATAAATAATATTGCAGTTATTCCAAATAAAACCGTTTTGTGGAGAGAAATTGTGTTTGTAAATCAGCGCCCATGCCAAAAGAATCTGTTGATGAAAGTGAGAAAGTTTCAGTGGTATTTGTGGAATACTATAACTGTTAAGTTAAGGCGCCTACATTAGAGAACACATGATGTGAGATAAAGTTCCAGATAGAAGTGGGATTCTTTAAATACTTTTTAATCCACTTTATTTTAAAAGCATTGTTAAGAGCACCACAATCAATAAAATGTATGCCTCCTTTATCATATGAATTTAAAGCTACTGATTTACGCAAGCAGTGAGTTTTATTTTTCCATAAAAAATTCTTTATAATAACTTGTTAATTGACTTACAGGTTGTATTATCAACATGTAGTGACTGAGCAGCAGGTTAGACGGGAGATACCTTCAGCCTCCGACAGCAGAACTCTTCCCTTCAACGACAGGTCTCACTGTGATTTTTTGGGATTTATCTATAATAGGAATGAAGTTTGTGGAGCTCATTTTTTATTATTTGAATTCCAAGGTATCTTACAGAGTTTCTTACAGGTATTCCATGAATTGAAGTTGCTAAACAACTTTTAACTGGTAAAAGTTCACATTTATGCAGGTTGAGTGAAAGTCCGGAGGCTTTAGAAAATGGCTGTATATTGTTAATGGCCACTGAAACTTGTGAGGCGTCTCTGAGGAAGAGAGCTGTATCGTCTGCCAGCTGACTTATGAGTATTTCTCTGTTAGCAATGACCAGGCCTTTTAAAGAACTGAGTTTAATGTGCGAATTACAGAGTCGCACAGAAAGAAGGAATAAATATACGGACAGGAGGCAACCCTGCCTCACTCCACGCTTTAGAGAGACTCTCGGGGAAGTACCAGTGGCAAGCTCTATGGAGCTGTTACAGTACAGTGTCCGAGCGGCATTACAGAAGGACTGACCGAACCCAAATTTATTTAAAGCTGTAAAAATAAACTCATGCTCTAAGGAGTCGAACGCCTCGTAGAAATCAAAAAAAAGAATAAGACTCATCCTGTACAAGTTCTGGGTAATCTATTATGTCTAGAATGAATCTTATGTTGTTTGAGATATGACAATTCTGCATGCATCCAGATTGACTCTCATCAATAACTTTACCTAATACGTGTTTTATTCTATTAGCCAATATCTTATAATCATTATTCAGTAAAGAGATTGGTCGCCAGTTGTCTAGGGAGTGCACCTCTATCCATACTTTCCTTAAAAACGTCTAAAAGAAACGGGGCTAAACTGTCAGCGAACTGTTTGTAAAGCTCGGCAGTAAGGCCGTCAGTTCCAGAGGATCTGTTAATCTTTAGATGTTTTATAGCATCTGCAACCTCGATCAAAGAAATTGATCTGTCGCAAAGCTGACTTTCCTCCTCATTCAGCTGAGTGATTTTGTCTAAAGAATTTAAAAAAGTCAGACAAGCTTCAGGGCAATAACTAGAAGAATAAAGTTTGCAATAAAAGTTTGAACAATATTTTGCTATGGTATCCTTATCATTAGAAATTGTCCCATTAATATTTAGTTGTAGGATGGAGTTGGTGTTAGATTGATGCCCCTCCGGTGGTCCTCCTTGGGCTCTCGCACTCTGGGGCCTCTGGATGTCTGGGGCCTGGATCTCCTCCATGCCTGCTTCATGCCCTGGGGGGCGGGGCTATGGCTCGCTACATCCTCTAGCAGACCATTACATGTGGAAACCTTTTGAATACAAGCGCGCTGATCCACACAGGTGTGCACACGCGTGCTCACTGCTCGTAGACTTAAATTACACCTTTCTTGGCCGCTACTTCAAAGCACATTGTGCGCTGTCTGTCCTGCGTGCTGCACAACAACATTGAATATTTAGTATTTACTGCTGTTTACACTTAGCTAGATTAATGCGATGGTGTTGTGTTTAGTATGTTGCTTTGTTTTTTGCTTGTTTTCTATTCTTCTCCCAACAGGTGATCCAGGAGATTTTTTTTCTCCCCCCCTTTCTCACTGTCCCTCTCCCCTTCTGTTTTTCCTTTCCTTCCTCTTTCTTTCTCCCTTTCCTATCCCTCACTCATGTCTGTCCCGTCTGTAACATCTGAAAATAAAATATAATAAATAATAAAAACAAAGGTCGATCAAATGGACCAATACGGCAATGCCACGATAATCCATTTGGCAAAGTAAATCCATTGGGTCTCCTTGTTGGTCTTCAGACAACAATTCTGACGGCTAAAGAACCAAATGGGACAGGCAAAAAAAAAAAAAAAGATTGATGCTTTTCAAGTCTGAAAAAATAGGCTGAATTCTGCTCTCCTTCTTCGAACCATTTTCTGAATAAATGCTCCGTCAGCTTTACGTTTGTAAATCTCATCCAACCTGTGCTGCAGGTCAACCAGTTCTATCTTATCAGATTCACTGAGGGTGTCTATTGGTTTGGAAGTCAGGCATGTGATCGTTTGTATCACCTGTGTCTCATCAGATCTTCTTTTTTTGCCAAATCACTGCTGTATTTTCTAAAGAGTTTTCCAATTTTATATTTCAAAAGTTCCCACTGACCTCAGTAGTAATGAAGGTGTTTGAGAGGCTGCTGAAGAACATCATCTCCTCCTCCATCCCAGACACCACAGATCTGCTCCAGTTCGCCTACAGATCCAACAGAT